CACTAGATTTGTTAGAAATTTATTTGCATTTGGGAGTGTTACAAGACACCCCAGTATGAATTGGGGTGCCTGACAGTGGTTCCTCACCCCTGAGCTTAAAGGGACTTACAGGATTCAGCTGCACACACACACACACACACATACAAAGGTTAAAAATGGATTTATTTACAAGAGAAAGGGAAATTAATAACTCAGGGAAATGGAGATAAGTTGTTTAATATGTTCTACCAGTTCCACTGACCTGGACCCCAGTAGCACACTGAAAGCCAGTGAAAAGCCAAGAGACAAGCCAAGAAGCAAAGAGACCCCTCCCCCCACACACACACACATGTTTATATCAAACATGTCTGCTTAACACCACCCTCAGTTCCCAGCAATCCTCTCCTTGGTGATTGTGGGAGTGGTGTCCACAAAGCCTGGACCAGGATATCCTTTCCCCCTAACAGAAGAGTATAGACTTCTGAAATGCTTTCCTATGATATGCCCAAGAGTCTTCTGTATTTCTTGATCTTTTTAAGGTTAAGGTGCAGGTGGTTTCTGGATAGGCACAGTGTTGCTATACCAGGTGGTTATGCTCTAGAAAGCAAGTTCTAAAAGTGCAGTTTGGAATTTCATAGTGATCTTTGAATGCTGTTCTGATGGGGACTGTAATTTTTAAGTACTTTTAGGGTATGTTTTAATACCTATATCACCCTTTGAATGTCCTCTTAAATGAAGTAATGTTTGTGTGTGGACAGAACATTTCAGGTAGTAAAGTTTCTCATTACAGGGTACATTTCCCAACTGTCATTCTTAGTTGTGGTAGGTTATTCTTAATGGCCAAGTTTTTAAACATGAAATAGAATCTTGAACATTCATGTAATGCTGTTCTTTTGCTATGTATACCAGCATTCTCATCAGTAAAATAACAATAATAATGACTTCCTTTAGGGTCTGGTGAGGATGAAGATAGTGTCACTACCAGACCAACTTATCAGTTTGCTCTTTATGGTTATTATTCATTTTAACTTTTATAGATGGCTTTTCTTCTCTTGGTCTTGGCCTGTGTAGCAGTTTTGGAGTATAGACTATTTTCCACCTTTGATAAATATCTGACATTTTAAACTATTTTTTGCCTTTCAACCTACTTTATTCTTGAATAGAAATAAATTCTTTGTATATAAACAACAGAATCTTACCATAGAAATTTACCAGAGTCAATATTTCTCTATTATTGTAACCACTAGTAGTTTATTTTTCTTCTGCCTTTTAAAATATACCTGAAAACTATAAAATGCCCTGTTGAGCTTGGCTTTAGTTTATTCCACAGGTTTTGATATGAGAATTGTAAGTTTTGCTTTACTTAGATATTTGCTAATTTCCTCTGTGACTTCATTGACCTACAAGATATTTAGAGGTGTATTTTATTATTTGCCTTTACAAAATAATTTTGTTAGTTTTTTTTTGGCTACTTATTTGCATTGTAATGTTAGGACATTTTGTTTCCATTTTGAAATGTGTTGAAGTTTGCCTTAACCTTTATAAAAGTTTTTATGTGTATACTAAGAATGTATATGCCATAGTTTTTTTGTTTGCACTTTTCTTTGCGTATACTTTTTTATTTTATTTGCTTATCCTGTCACTAAAAATATGTGGTGATATTTCACATAATTAATTGTGAATTCATCTAGTATTTTATTGTCTTTTTACTGCCTTGTACATTTTGAGACTATATTATGAGCTGCTTACTCATTTGGTTTTAAATCTTTTTTTTTTTTTTTTTGGCAAGTCCCCTTTTCTATTAATGCTGTTTGCCTTAGAGTCAGTACAACATGGTTTCTTTTGTGTTTGGTTTTGTGGCTTATACTTATATACTTATGTCTCTGTGTGTGTGCCTATAAACATGGCTTCTGTGGTTTTGTGGGTGCTCCTTATTAGGGTTGGGAATTACTTTTTTTTTTTTTAACTATTTTTTCTTAATTTGGAAATCACAACATTTTGTTCTTGCATACCAAATCTGCTGCTGTAGTTTCACAGACAGTGCAAAAAGAACTAAGAGCAATTCGATAATTTCATTTATCCTTCTCCATGCTTACATTCTATTGCAATGTATTTTAATTCCATGTATATTTTAAATATCATGGGTCATTGTTACTATTTTATATAGTTAGTATTCATGTGGATATACCCATGTGTTTGTTGTTTTTATTAATTTTTCTTTTTTCCTGTATTTGGAAGCTCCTATCTGGAATTACTTCCTTTCTCCCAGTGAATTCCCTTTAGCAGGTCTGTTGGGAAATTCATCATTTTCTTTCCCCAAAAAGACTGAGTTTGCCTTTTTAGAAAATTTCTTTAATATGGAAACACTCCATCATCATCTGCTTCCAAATACATGTTGAGAAGTAAGCTATCATTTTAACTTTGTTTTAAGACTTTCCCTTTGCCTCCCCGCCCCCAGCAGATTGACCCTAGTGTCTGTAGGTGTGGTTTCGCTTTTGTCAGGTGGTAATTCCTTTTATTAAACTTTTAAAAAAAAATTTGCCTAGAAGAACTGGAGTGAGGCTAACGGTGGAGTTGGAGAGGTTGTTCGATTATTTGCCCTAAGACAGAGTGGAGAGCAGATTTACCAAAATACACTGCTACGGGGAACAGTGGGAGACACAGGAGAGGTCTGAGGTCTGTGGAACATTAAGTGGGTGAATCAAACCTCTGGCCTTGGTAGTGATAGTATTGAGACTTAACCCCTACACCACCAGGGAGGCTCAGGTAGTAATTCTTTAAAGTTGCTTGATCTTTGACTTGGTGTCTTCAATTTTAGATAGTGCTCAGCCATCTTCTATGCCTTAAAATTGCCACTGCTTCTATGACTGGTTATTAAGGTCTTAACTTCTCACTGTATTTCCTCCTAGCTTCTCCTAGTTTCATCCTTTTTGCTGTTGTATTTTTATTTTGGATTTCTTTAAGAACCATACTTAGTTTCCTTCTTAACTGGTGTTAGATCTGTTATTAAACCCATCTGTTGTCTATTTAATTTTCATAATTGTGTTTTGCACTTCTAGAATTTTTATCCTTTTTAATTTTTCCTCCTTTGTTGAGTTTTTCTCTTTGTGTAATTGATCATTAAAGTGGACTATATATGGCCAGTGCACTCGATGAACAGTGAGCAATAACTGACTTTTACACTTTTAAAGGGTTGTTTGTAAAATAAATTACAAAGAGGATTAAACCCCAAGGAGTATAAGTAGCCTAAAGAAGCCTTTTCTAACTCTGACTCTTTAAAGATGATGTTTGGACATTTTGGTACATATTAAGTAGAAGCATTTTATGTCTGATAACATTATTTGAAAATTCTTCCTGGTTTCTAGAGATTACTATTACTCTTGTTTTTCATCAGTACCCTTTTGTTTCCTAGTTAAGTGTGGATTTATTTGAGTACTTGTATATGCAAAATTTTAAAAATAATAGGCTTCAAAGGCCTACAGTGATCCCCTCCCCCATGGTGACAATTTGTTTGTGTAGAGCAGTAAAGTAGTAATCCTGCATAATGTTAATCTAAAATTAGTGATTGAAGTGATTTTAAAATGTGCGTTAATTTACTTTGGATCATACTTTTATTCCTGGAGTGTAGTGTGTTTTCCAAGGTTTCAGTGCAAAGCCTTAGAATATAACTCTCATCTCTAATTAGCAGCTGTCAGAAATTCTTAAAGGCCTGTTGGCTTCCTCCCTAAGAATCGAAAAATAGAGCAAAGCAACCTCAAAGGCCAGATTGTTTGTGTATGTGTTCCATTTTCTTTATCTTAGTTTTGGGAGTCATGTGAATTATTTAACTTGGTGTGTAGTTTTATAATTACAATGTCTCCTCTAGAGATAATATCCAGATTTTAGCCATCATCTCCTTTAGCATATGTTTAGGTTCCAATGTTAATGTGGTTATTTCCTTAATTGCTTTGACACTAAAGCAATGGTAAATTTTTTAAAAATCAAAGTGATATCTCTGAGTAAAGTCATTTGAAGATTTCACCGTATCTCCTTAGTACACTATTGGCAGAGTGGTTTACCTTAGCTCCTGTGTGCTTATTTGGTGAGGTTTTTTTTTTTAATAGTTTAAAATGCATTGTACCTCCCTGATAAAAGTATGTCCATATTAAAATAAGACAATGTGGTGAAATAATTTCATTGTACCTCTGCACTTAGTACAAACATTAATCATTAAACTGTAAGGATTAGCAACAAATTAATACAATATTAAGTGAAAAGAGGTTTAAATTTTTGGAATATTCGATTGTTTTAATTCTTGCTGCCAGATGCTGTACTTTAATCCAGGTTAATGGTGTTTAATTTTAGTAGTAGCAAGTGTGCATATGTACATGTGTATATGTAAGTGTTGGGAACCAAAGATTTACTGACAAGGAAAGAATTCAGCCTTGCATCCAAGCTTGATATGGGACTAGCTAACCGGGATAACAAACTGCCAGTCAACTGGGCCTAGCATCGGGGAGATACAGGTGGGAGGAACTGGACCTAGCACCAGGGGACACAGCGATGAGTCACCTTTGGAATGTAAACTAGATCTATATGAGACTCTTCCCCCGTATTGAGTTGGCAGTAGCTGCGGACCCCACTCTAGGGGCTCCGTCTCAGCTGATGTCCCGGAGCAATAAACTCTGCTTGCTTAGCCTTTCTGCCTCCTGCCTTCCTTTCTTGCGGCCAGTCACAGATGTTGGGACAAAACAGTAAGAAAAAGCATCTTTACCCTTTGTCGAAATAGTAGCATATGTCTATTTCTCTCTGAAATACCATTACTAATCTCAGATCAGCTCAGAGAACTTCCACATAGGCTTGTCAAACAGTTAAGGAATACTAATTATGTTCTCATCATTTTCTAAGGTTTTTTCCTAACAATGGACAATTTAGGTTCAAAATGATACAGGAATACACATAAAACAAAAATTTGCTGCAGATGTTCCAGTGTGGCACGAACCCTGTAAAGTTCTACATTAAAATATCTTTTTCTTTTTCAGCTTCCAGCAGATCTTACCAAGATACACATCACAGACAATCCTCATCCACAGTTGACTCATGTGTCTTCCAGTCAGTCTGGTTGTAGCATTGCCAGTGACTCTGGGAGCAGCAGTTTATCTGATATTTATCAGGTAATACACTAGGAATTTTGTATGTTATGTTATCTTTTTTATTCTGACAAATACCCTGTGTTTGTGTTTTAGGTGTTCACATATCTTTTTTTTTTTTTTTAAGATTTATTTATTTGTGCATACAGAAATGGGGTACAGGCCAGAGGCTCAGGGGTGGTGAGAGGCTTCACCAGAGACAGAGTGGGGAGCAAAACAGGCAGATCGACGAAGTACACTGCTGAGGGGAGCAGCTGACAGGTCAGGAGAGGTCTGCCACACCATGTGGTCACCTCCGGGGCAGGCGGGGATCGAACTCATGCGGAAGCGGCTTTAGATTCTCAGTGCTGTGCTTTAACCCGCTGCGCCACCAGGGAGGGCCCACATATCTTTTAATCAGAATAAGAAATTCAGGCAGAGGCTCTTTGGGAATTATTCTTTATTTAATGTGTCATTTGCATTTAAAGAAATCTTTTTTTGGTCTGAGTTATTGAAATCTGATTTATTGTCTTTGGAAATGTGTCCAGTTCTTCAGCTAACATTTTGATAGGTTTGTTTACTTTTGTTGTTATTGTATATTGTATAAATTCTTCATATAATTTGGATGTTAATCTTTTGTCAGACATGTGATATGCAAATACCTTCATGTAGTCAGCAGGTTGCATATTTTGTAGTGCTTTCTTTCACGGAACAAAAAGCCTTTTAGTTTCATATGGTGCCATTTCCTTCTTTTTGTTTTTTGTTTCTTCTGCCATTAGAGTCAAATCCAGTCTCCAAAGTCATCCTCACTGTCAGTGTCCAGGAGTTTATTGCCTCCATTTTCTTCTGTCCAACAGCAATTCTTAGTAATTCTAAATAAGAAAATTGTTTGCACCATTTTATATGGCCCAGTGTGGCTATACCCCATGCATTTACTTTTTGAGTGTGTGTGTGTGTTCTGGCTTAAAATGAAAAGCCCTTGTTCTCAAAGAAACTTCAAAATTAAGCATTTACCACAGTCTGGGAAAATGCTTGTTATCGTTTTGATAAGAATGTTTCCATATAGTCAAATTGGCTTAAATTTTAGTCAGAGGTGTGCATTAAAGTGTTAGAATGAGGCTTCCCAGTGGCACAGGAGTTAGGTATTAGTGCTATCAAGCTATCACCAGCCACTGTGGCCTGAGATGGATCCCTGGCCAAGGAGCTAGCCTACATATTGCACAGCAGACTTCTCCTGTCTCACCTGATGCTCCCACTCTGCCTGTGCTCCCCACCCCCAGCCTTCACCCCAGTTCAGTATGGATGAATAAAAATAAAAAGATGTTACAATGTTCTGGGATAGAATGTTTTTGTGTATTCAAAGAATACTTTCTTTAGATTCATTTTTCTGTTTAATCTTTTTATTTATTTATTTATTTCATCTTTTAAAGATGTTTTATACATACAGAACTGAGGTACAGGCCACAGGTGCAGGGTTGAGAGAATTCACCAGAGACAGAGTGGGGAGCAGAACAGGCTGCTGTACTGAAATATAGTGCTGAGGGGAGCAGCAGGCAGGTAGGTCAGGAAAGGTCTGCCACACCATGTGGGTCACCCCCCTGGCAGGGGATTGAACTTGTGCTATAGTGACTGTGATAGCTTCATAGTGCTGCTATAACCCATTGTGCCACCAGGGAGGGGCCTGTTTAATCTTTTCTAAGAGTTGGAATATTGTGAAATGTTGATTTTTGTTCTAAAACACTTGTCTTTTTATTAACTTTTAAAAAATAACCAGTGGTATACCTCCATCCCTCACCTCTTTACTTTGTATGCAAGATGTAAACGTGTTCCTAAAATTTCCAATGTTTTAGTTATCACTGATTTGTCAGGTTGATTCCTTCCTTTCACTGTTAAGGTGTAAAATATTTTTTATTTAAAAATATCCAGTAGAGGATAACCATTAAAATGTTAGAATATTTTCCCTTGATTGCTGAACTTGGTAGGTTCTACATACAGAAAAACTTCAGTAGCACTGTCCAGGCTTCATGGTTCTTTTCAGATACATTGACTGCATGCTTATCCATCTGATGTTGAAGCAAACCAAAATCTTTATTGTGTCTGTCTTTAACGTTTAATGCAAGGAAAGTTGTCTCTCTCAGATACTTCCACAATTTAACAGCACAGTAAAAAACAGTACCTACCTAGGGTATCCTCTGTCTTTAATTATTGATTCACATCTTTCATGATGTCTGTAGTATATCTGAGTTTAAAGATTTTGTTACAAAAGAACTTGAACTTTAAAGAAAACCTTGTACTGCTGATTTTTCTTATTTAAACTATACAAACCGTGGGTTACTGGTAGTTGAAATAAGAGTGCAAAAAACACTGTTTTAAACTCTTACAGAATTCTAGTGCCAATTTGTCCAGAATTCTGGTACTACATTTCCATCAGAGTATGCTTTTGCACCCTCATCTAGCTTTGCCCCACTATCTGTTTTCTTCTACTTTATTATTTCTGATAAGCACTATTTCCTAGTCAAAATCTCAGTTACTTGACTACTCTTTTATTTTCATATTCCAACATGAAATAAGTTACAAGAGCAAAGTGACTATTCTAAAAGCTAATTTACACTTTTATTTCATTTCCAGTTCAAATTCAAATTGAAATTCAAAGCCTCTCACTTCTACTCACAATCCACAAATCTAGTTTACATTCCACTATTTCCCATGTAAAGCCCATGACAAAAATATATACTATTCCCTGAACATGTTTCCCCTTTCCCAGCCTTTGTTTTGGTTATGCTCCACCTAGATGGCATTTCATAGCGTCAAACCTTTCTCTGAATTCCTAGTATTTACAGTTTTAAAGATTTCAAAGCAAAATAATTAAGAATCTTTTGTTTTTCTTTTAGAATGATGTCTTCAAACCCCACAACAATTTTTTGTTGACTTTGTTGCATTTTTCACTCTGCTTTTCAGTAGAGTGTGTTTCTTACTTATATATCCCATGCTGAATTAAGTAGTGTAGTAGTTTTGACATGTAGGAAGTAATCTAGAAGATAATTTTTTTTAGTTACATTTGAAAGTAAAAACTAATTAAGTTTGTTATTACCTAAAGGAGGTCTTTTGTGTGTTTGCCCTGTTACAGGGATTATTGAATGAGCCAGTCAGGACAGCAGTACTGTAAAGAATTAATTTCATAGGGGCTCTGTTCTGACAAGGAGAGTGCCATTTTAAAAGGTTGATTGAAATACTAAAAAGGGAAACAAAAGAGAAGTACTGAAAGTCTAAGGTTCTGGCTTAATACTTGTTCTTATTGTGAAATTTTGGCTTTTGTATGCTTGAATAACTTTCATTCTAACTTGTAGTTCTCATCCTAACTTCGTGTTTATTTAGATGTGAACAGGAAAAGGATATCCTTTGGTAGTTTATTTGGGGAGGCTAGCTCATCAGAAAATCGCCTCATACTGTCTGCCTCACCAAATTATATTTACACTTAAACACAGAGACACTTTCATACTGTGGGAAAGGAAATACACAGGAGATTAATAGTTGACTTATTTAGTCCTTTCACCATATACCTTTTTTTCCTGGACTATATTTATTTATTATAACTTTGTGAGTCTGTTTGTTCCAAGTTATGCCAGGAGTAAGTAGTTAAAGGGTCCTCAGTCTTCTGTGTATCCTACCTTGATAAAACTTGCATCTGTTTTAACTACATATTTTAAAAAACTCTTAATACTATCATATGTGTCCCTGAGGTTCTGTTAAATTTTCTTTTAGTCTTTTTCTTCTCTTTGCTTCAGTTTGGGTAGTTTTTTATTGCCTTTCAAGTTTACTCAAATTTATATTTCTTATTGAGAGTTTCTCCCCCTCTCCTCAAATTATGTTTGTGTTTTCTTTTAACCCCTTTAACTAATAATAAATGTGGAAAGTTCTGACCTTCTTATCCTGTCATTTCTGTCTCTTTGATTGATTTTTATCCAACCACAATCTCATTTCTTTGCTTCACCTATCTAATTTGCTTTGCCAACCCTTTTCTGCTCCATGCATGTTGCCACAGATGGCATGAGTTTATCTTTTTTGATCTCTGAGCGATATTTCATTGTGTAATATATAAGACATCTTGTTGACTTATCTGTATGGGGTATTTAGGCTGTTTCCCTATCTTGACAATTGTAAATAGTGCAATACAATAAGCATAGGAGTTCAGGTTTCTTTTTGAGTTAGTGATTTTGTGTCCTTTGGGTGAGTTGCTGGATTATGTGATTATGTGGTAGATACATTTTAGAATTTGTGGCACCTTCGCCCAGCTTTCATATGGCTGGATGAGTTAACATTCCCACTAGACTTTTCAGAGGGTTCCATTTTTCTCCACCTCCTCACTTGTTTTGGGTTTTTTAATGTGTCCCTATATCATTCTAAGTCTACCTCTTTTATTGTATTCTTCCTCCATTCTCTTGCCCCTTTCTCTGTTTATTGGTTCCATGTTTTTTCCTACCACAGAGAGGCATCCCATGTGTCTGTAGGATCTCTGAATCACATATTGTCACTTAAGCAACTAGAGTAGAAAGGATGCTTCCCAGTTTATGTGAACATCCAGAATAAAAGCTTTTTTACCTTAACTTAATAGCCATATACACAGCACTCTTCACTGGAAACTTTGGGTTTAATTGGAAAGGAATGGCAATTCTCTAAAGGAAGAAACACCATCTGCTAGACAGATAAAACAGTAAATATTCAATACAGGAAATGAGACTTAATTGTTTGGACTAAAGTTAGATATTCTCCTCTCATATTAATATTTTAGTGCTTTATGAAGTTTTGTCATATTCAATTTACTTAATTTTTAGCACTTTATAGTCAGTATTGCATTTAAAAATATTACCTGATAACTTCACTTCCAATTTTATTCCTAAAAGATATCAGTTTGTATGAATAGCATCTTGATTTACTGTTTTTAAAAAATATCCTAGTTCCTTTATAAGGATGTGAACTAGTATGTTTCCAAAGCCTTATTTGTACTCATATAATGATGCTTGGTAAAATATCTCTTTCCTGTACACTTCTTATTTAGGATAATTTTGTATTTGTAGGGAAGGCAAGCACTTGTTGGAAGACACAGGGTTAATTCATTCTGTGATATTTGAGATTCCTGACTATTTTATACTTGCTGATTTGGATTTATAACATAGATATTACACTGAGGAATGATGAGCCTATATTTTGGGAGGAGGAAACCTTCAGAAATATTTTTTTCTACATACAACATAAAATATTGCCCATTTCGTTATGATATTTGGTAGGGTAAGGTAATTTTTGATCAGTTTGCACTGTGGCATGATATTTATAAAATGAAAATGATGAATGACCAAGTTTTCTTTCTGTAGGCTACAGAAAGTGAGGTAGGAGATGTAGATTTAACACGTCTTCCAGAAGGACCTGTTGATTCTGAAGATGAAGAGGAAGAGGATGAAGAGATTGATAGAACAGATCCACTACAGGGGAGAGATCTTGTTAGAGAATGTCTTGAAAAAGAACCTGCAGACAAAACCGATGATGACATTGGTAAGAATTTCATAGTAAGAATTTTATAGCTATTCATAGTAAGAATTTTATAGCTTATTTACCTGTTGCTGGATAACAAATTATCCCAAAACATAGTCACTTAAAACAACTCATTTATTTTTTCTCAGGGATTAAGTGTAGTGGTTTAGCTATAAGTGGTTCTGGCACAGTTCTTTCATGAAGTTGTGAGCTCCTGAATGCCTGCAGGAGTTAGTCATCTGATGCTACATGGGAATGACCTAGAAAATCTACTTTGAAAGTTGTTATTCACATGGTTTTTGTCACAAGATCTGAGCTCCTTGCCACCTGGGCATCATCAGAAACTGTTTAAATGTCCACAAAGTATGACAGCTAAGTTTCCCAAAGAAGTAATCCAAGAGCAAGAGAGCAGATGCCATGATGTCTTTTAAGATCTGGCCTCAGGAGAGACACATACTCCAAATTCATTTGCCTCAGCACAGCCCTGATACAGTAAGGAAGGGGAATAATGGTTATCAAGAGGCAAGGATCACTTGGGATCATCTCTGAGATTGCCTCTATATATAGAAGAAAGACTTCTTTTAGTGATTTTCCCCTACAGGTCTATGAGACATTAAGCATACAGTATAGTAGTGTTCAGTATCTATGAATCCAGTTGAAAAAATTACCTCTTTTCACAGAAATATTTACTTCCATTAGCTTTATTTATTTACTTATTTATTAGAGATTTATTTATGAATGGGGAGCAGAACAGGTAATTTGATGAATTACACTGCTGAGAGGAGCATTGGGCGAGACAGGAGAGGTCTCCTGTGCCATGTGGGTCACCTCCAGGGCTGGGGATTGAACTCGTGCTGAAGCGGCTGCAGCTAGCTTTGCAGTGCTGCATTTCCACCCATTGTGCCATTGGGGAACGCCCTATATCCTCTAGCTTAGAGAGAGAGAGAGAGAAAAAAAAAACATGTATTTTTGGGTAAAACTAGACATTTTCCTTTATGTAGTTTCTTAAAAAATAGGTTGCTATACTTAGGTACAGTGAATTATAGTAAAGATGTTAATGTTTTCTTTAAAGTCAAAGATTACTTGAAGTCATTGTTGATTGAATTAAGATTTTATTCTAGATTTCCCTTATATAATGCTATCCATACTGTCATTCAGATCAGAAGATGCTGTTAGAATCTATGTGAATAAAAGATCAGTACATTTGAACACTGCTATTGGAATGATATCTAATACATTTTGAAACTGCAATTTACACTTATGTTTAATCACAATGAAGATAATACATATTTAATAAAGAATTGTACCTGTTCTATTTTCATAAAACTTTTTAAACTCTGAAATGTAATCAGTGCCAGTTTTCTGTAGGGTAGATAACCACCTTAGAGTTATTTCTGTCTGGGCTCTTTGCTTACCACTTATAGGTGTTTCTCTCTCTATTAAATTTATTACTCATGTATGTATACCAGGGAATATATGAACGCAAGCACTAATACACTAAATTAAACAAAGGCACCTTGTAGTTGTTTTGACAAATCTTTAATTAGAATTCACTTTAGCAGCTCACACAGTAAAAAAATAAATAAATAAAACTTTGTAGCCTTATCTAATTATGTGTAAGTTCCTCATTCTCTGTGGAGGTTGGGAACTCTGGTATCTTTCAGTATGACAGTATTTTTCATGTCAGACTGAGTACATAAACATGCACATGTGTGTGTTAGCAGGAATTTATATAAGAAGAAATAAAATTTAAAAAAATTTACTATTGTTAACCACTATGGAAAACTGTTTGGAGGTTCCTAAAATTGGAGCTTCCATATGACCAACTCCTAGGTATCTACCCAAAGACACAAACACACTGATTCAAAGAGATACCTGTACCCCCTGCTTATTGCTGCTTTATTTACAATTGGAAAGACATGGAAACAACCCAAATGTCCAGAAGTGGATGACTGGATTAAAAAATTGTACATATACACAATGGAATATTATCCAAAAAAATTACTCAGCAACCAAAAAAAATAAACACATGCCTTTTACAGCAACATGGATGGAGATGGAAAAGATCATGCTTAGTGAAATAAGCCAGAAAGAAAAGAAAAATACCAATGGTTTCACTCATAGCAGGAGTATAACGGACCAGGCGAGAAAATAGTAGTAATAATGAACAGCTATATATCAGAGATATTTGATGGGGGTGGGGTAAGGGAATGGGATCAAAAACAGTGGGGGGAAGGAAATGCACTGGACTATGGTGATGGCACACAGGTGATTTGGTGATGGGAAGTCCATGGGGATGACAACTGAGTTGGAAAAAGGCACAAAATGGTATTAAAAAAATTATTATTTTTTAAAAAATTTATTATTCTGTTTTTTATTGCAGTAATGTTGGTTTACAATAGTCAGTGTTGGGGTATGAGTGCACATTTGTAAATAACTGTTTTGTTGTTTTTTTTTTAAATAACATTCTGAATTATAGTGTTCACATTAGCCCTAATGTAATCACTTACTGTTTTGTTTTGTGTTGGTTTGTTTATTGTCATTATGAATTCTTAAGATGATGGAATTTAAGTATTGGATTCTAAACTTTATGCTGTCTTTCAGAGTGTAATCCTTTTTTTTCTTTCTTTTATAGAACAATTACTGGAGTTTATGCACCAGCTCCCTGCTTTTGCAAATATGACCATGTCTGTAAGGCGAGAACTCTGTTCAGTGATGATTTTTGAAGTGGTAGAGCAGGCTGGAGCTGTTATTCTTGAAGATGGGCAAGAGGTAAGTTAGCAAATAAATGGTGCACATTATTTAGTATGAAAGCTAATTTTTAAGTTAATTTAGTTTCCATAGACTTCTGTAAATCATCACTTTTGAAACTTAAACATTTTTAAATGGATGCTGAATTGGGGTATTTATAATTTCTGAAAAGGTATCTGTGTTTACTTTGTGTTCTGTTTCATAGCAGTGAACTTTGCACAGGATAGGTGTTCACTAAATAATGCTCTATCAGATTGATTCAAATTAATTTGTAATTCTTAATTGTACTGTCTATGTCATTATGGCTTACAAATGTGGTTTTAAAATGTTTTTCAAGTATTTATGCTTCTTATTCCTTTTATTTATTACTTTAAAGAATAAAGGAAATGTATTGGTATTTTACCTCCTAGTGGACTGATGTCAGGTGAGGTATTTATGTGACCTTTCTATGTTCAAAATGGTCAGATGGTAACTTGGAGTATGCAGAGGAATGAAAAAGTAGTATTGTTTTAGGAAATATTGCAGTATTTTTTTCATCAAACCAATTAAGCCTAAGATGTCATCAATAAAGGTTGTATTGCTCATAGGCATATAAATGGTATTTCTATAAAGTCATTTAGAAATCCTTAATATGGACTTTCTATAGTATAACTATTTCTTTTTCTTTCTATTTTTTTAGTATTACTATTTCTAAGCTCTTATTACACTTAGGAATATCATTCCTCTAGATGTAATAAAATCTCATTGCTGTGCCAGGAGATACTCATTGTAGTATATTTACAATAGAAAAAATTGTAGATGATCAAAATGTAATCCAATAGTAAGTAATGATTAACAAACTTACTTTATAACCACAGGATATAGCATCATGTAGGTTTTTAGGTTACTTAAGAGCTGTTTAATGGAAATTCTTTGAGAGCACAAGATTTATCTATAGATTTATTTCCCCCCTCATAGCCTAGAAGTTTCTGGCACATGGAATATGCTTCAGAGAGTTTGCCAGACGAGTATATTATTAAAATATTTTTAAAGGCTAATCCAAATATTTGAACACTATAAAATAATACATAGGACAGAAATTTTAATTATGTAAACTATGGGATTTTGAAAAACTTCCACAAATTTCAGTATTCTCATAAACTTTGTTCCTGCTTTGTGCCAATTTCACACAGCAGTACAGTGGTGGTAAAACCAGATGCTATCCCTGTCCTTATATAATTTATGTAATCCATAAATTTCACAGTATATATTTTATATTTTTAGTAACTCAGAAATGGAGTTTCAGTTTTGAAAACGAAATTTTTTGTTGTCATTGTTTCTTCTTAGAACTCATAATCCAGATTTTCCTTAAATCACATTAAAAGCTGTTAAAATTTTAGGCTAATAGTAATTGTACTGATGGAGAATTAATGATCTTTTCTTGATACATACTACAAGAATAAATCTTCTTGAAGTATAAATGTATCTTACAAATGACGCAGCGTTTTCTTTAGGATTTTTAAAAAAATATTTTTCATCATTTATTTTTTTTTGTACAGTGTATGCTTTCTCTTCTCAAGTGTAATCCCCATAAAATACCCACCATTTCACCCATGTACCATCACCATAGTCCCTTGTACTCCTTCTCCCCTATTTTGATCCCTCTCCATATCCCTCCTATGCAGAATGTCTGATTTATCGTTGCCTGTTAAATTTTTTTTTTCTGGTCTCTATGTTCGTCCTATAAGTGAAACCATCCACTATTTTTCTTTTTCCTTCTGGCTGGCTTCACTGAGCATAATCCCTTCCAGCTTCATCCATGTTGCTGTGAATAGCATGAGTTTATCTTTGATTGCTGAGTAGTACTCCTTTGTGTATATATACATTTTCTTGATCTAGTCATCTATTTTTAGTCATTGGGGTTTTCATATCTTAAGTAGTGCTTCAGTGAACATAGGGGTGGTGCAGGTATCTGTTTGAATTAATGTTTTTGTATTCTTTGGGTAGACTTCTGGGAGTGGAATTGCTGGGTCATGTGGTAGGACCTGTTTGCATTCCCACCAAAAGTGTAAGAGTTCCTTTGTCAATATTAGGAGACATTTGTAATGTTTTGTGAGATAAGCTTTTTTTCTTTTGAGTACTTATTACACACCAGGCACTTAGTATGTACATTGTACTCAGTTAACAAAAGTCCTATGATATGTTGTATATTATTGTACCCATTTTAGAGTCAGAGCTTAAATAACTTGCCCGAGTTACTTCAATAAATGGTGAATCCAAATTTCTGGAGTTTTTAAAATTAATTATTACCTTATTTTGTCTCAGAGAAAATTGGTATGATATAAAAGTCCCTGATTTAAGTACATGACTAAATGAAGAAAGAATAAAACAGGCTTTTTAATGTTCTAATAAATGGACAATTTAGTAATAAAACCAGATCTTTTTCTTTTCAAAATTACACAAGTTCTGTACATTTATTGACCAATTTTCATAGTTACATGACTGTTCCTAATAGGTTTTTAAAATCTTTCTTTCTATAGCTTGACTCATGGTATGTTATTTTAAATGGCACTGTAGAAATCAGTCATCCAGATGGAAAAGTTGAAAATCTTTTTATGGGAAATAGTTTTGGAATTACTCCAACTCTGGATAAGCAGTATATGCGTGGAGTTGTAAGGACTAAAGTAGATGATTGTCAGGTAAGCTTTTCTCTTTGATCATGTACTCTTGTTCGTTCATTTAAAATGGCTGAATTTTTTTCCTTCCTCAAAATAAAAGGCTTGATTTTGGAGTTTCAGAAGTTCACAGTTTCTATAAATGAAATTGGATTTTGTGTATGATTTAAATATTTGTGAAATTGAACAAATTAAAGCTTTAAAAGACTGTCAAATGTTGATTTGTTAAAATTCTACTTCATATTACCCAGTTTCAGTCCTTTTTTTTTCTTTTTAAATAAAGATAACCTCTGAGCTGTTTGTTTCTAATTTAGTCCTGCTTCCATGTTTTCTTTGCATAGAGTCTGTTTTGAGAGAAGTGTTCACTTCTCCTTTTAGAGAATTCAAAGGGATTTAACTTCTTTATTCTTTGTGAACTATTTATTTTGCTTTGACTTTTTAAAGGATTAAGGAGTAGAATAAAAAAGAACAGATGCCACTTGATTTCTTACCTTTGTACTCTGCCTTGGTGCATAGTGACATATTTATGTATTATAGATTCATTAATTGTCCCCATGTTGTTCTCGGACAGTTTGTCTGTATAGCCCAGCAAGATTATTGGAGAATTTTAAATCATGTGGAAAAAAATACTCACAAAGTTGAGGAAGAAGGAGAAATTGTTATGGTGCATGAGCACCGTGAACTAGATCGAAGTGGAACCAGGAAAGGACACATCGTAATCAAGGTAGGTGTTTTACTTAATTATTCTAATGGCTGATACAATGAAGCTTTCGTATTGCTAAAAGGGCTTTGAAGTGCTTTGTGAGTAGTGCAAGGTAAACCACTAATTTTGAAATCTGATTAATGTAAACATGTTTCTTTTGCCTTTTTAATGTTTTAAAACATGTTTTAATGAAGATGATAACATTGCTGTCAAACATCAGTGTGGTAGGATATTTTAGATGATATTTGTCAAGGTATTCCTTCTCAGATTAATATTGTGATCCATTGATAACAAGAGGTAATTTCCTCAAAGACAGCAATATTTAGAATCAAAGTAGAATGCAGGTATCAACTATACAGGCACAAAAAATCCCAGATGAAGTTGTATAGTGCTCTTTGGATCTCTAGCACTGAAGTAGGCATTAAAACTCCTGAAACTCAGTTTTCTTATCTGAAAAATGGGACGATAGTAAGATTTAGTGAGCTTTTTAAATTAAAAGGCATTATTGTGTAAAATCCTCATGTTACTCCACATACAGTTTTCTCTTTAACTCCTTGTGTACTTACCCCATAATCTCTCCAGTAATCTCCTTAGCCCCATCATTTTAAAGATCTCTAGCTGAAAATAGAGGAATTACAGTTAAAAGAGAGTATAAATAAAACACGGATATTTTTCTCTTTTAAAGGGTAGTCTTGGTTGCAAAATCAGTGTTAATTTTTAATTCGAATTTAGTACTTACTTCTTAATATGACAAACTGACATCCAATCCTTTCATCCTCAGTAGTTAGACAAATTCCTCAGCATTATCTTCTTTCTTTCCTAAAATGTAAATTGTAAACTTTTCATGTAAAAGGGATGAACATACAGTTGGTTGGTGGTGTGCTATAAGCTATTTTCTTATGGGGGCTACTATTTTTTAATACTTTATTTTTAAATAATTTCAAACATAAAGTTGCAAGAACAATAAGGAGAGCTCCCTGATTCAGATCACCCCACTGTTATTATTTTAGCACATTTTCTCCATTACCATTTTTTCTGCCATTTGAGAGCAGTCTGCAAATATGATACCTTTGTTATTCCTAAATATTATATTTCATTGTGTATACCCTACCAAAAAGAATATCCCTTACTTAAGCACCATAGACCACTCCTCCCACCTTTATTGTCATTCTGCTGTAAAGATGAGCATTTTCTTTTCATTTGTTAATTATGTTAGTATGAACTTTTGTGTGTATTTCCATTAACATCGATGTTACTCCAGTGGTCAGATTTTTCCAGATTTGGGCAATGGGTCTCTCATCAAGAGAGCGCTTTTTCCTTTTGACTGTCCCCATCTTTCATTAAGAACTTCCTCAATACCTGACAAAAATTAAATATTAGATTCATGGTGTACTTTACTTTGCTCCAGTTTTGATTTCAGCTATTTCTCTAGAGTACCCTTGACCCTTCAGCTATTTCTCTAGAGTACCCTTTACCCTTCTGCTAGAGAATAGGATTCAGAAACCAAGACCTGAACACTAGCTACATTCTATACTACTGAGGTGTCAGATTTTAAGCCTCTAAGCAAACAGAACTAGGAAATGTACATACGTGTTTGCTGTAAATACACACACACCTGTAACTTTTAATCTCCTTATTTATGTATCTTTGAATTCATACCAGTACTCCCAATAAACTGTCGAATTTTTCATCTAGCCTTTTCCTTTTTATATTTGTAAATACCTTCTCCAACTGTGGCTCTTGTTATCCTCTGTATTTCTACTTAATTGTTTATCACAGTCAGACTCTTGCTGTGTCAGTATAGCCACGCCAACCGTCTTCTTCATCTGCCACTCTGTCTCCCAAAAGCCCATCTTGTTGAATACTAGTAGGCACCTCAGTGATATTCCTCTGCAGTGCTGTGAGATTCATCATTAAATAAAATTTGGGTTTTTAAATTTTTTTTTTTTTACCTAATCTTAGCAGAGATCCTACCTCAGCAATTTAGCCAATGAGAATAATGGTCTTTCTTTAATTAGATGATCATAACCACCCCTAACTTAAGTATATACTGCCTTTGAGGCACATTTAAATGAATTCAAGTTGTGATTGGCCCAAATGATTAACCCAACTTGAAACTCTCAGACTGTCTGGATTGTAGAAGAATAGAGGTGACTGATGTGTGGCTTTGTCCTATAATAGGTTATATGAAAAACTTTATAATTCCCATTTAGAGAAATAATTTTCATAACTTGTAAATAAAAAAATAAATTCTTAGATAATATTGTTATATTGGTGTATATTTACCATACAACTTTTCAAGTCAGTGAAATTGGGTGAATGCAGCAAGTTGAAATTCCTAAAAGCAGTGCAGACATATCTATATTCCTATTAAACATTTGAAGATAATCAGCTCTCAGTATAAAAACTGTCTATAGTACTTCTGGTTTCTCTCAAGAGTTTTAACTAGCATGGAGAAGCTAAAGATAAGGAAGCTTCTTTTCTGTGAAGTAACAATAATAGCAGCAACAATAAAATTTAGTATCTTGTACTTGTTCTTGTAGCTTGGGGAATAAGAAAATTTGAAGATTAACTTTGAAGGAAAACTTTTCTAAAGTTGAATTCTAATGTCTTCCTTCTGTTATCTTGAGAGTGTAATTATATCCCCACATTGAACACAAATGGCAGTAGTAGTGGACACCAGGATAAATCATTAAAGCTCAGAGGTCATGGTAAGATAAAATGCCAATGGAAACAGTCATAACCATTAATAGATTGTTCTGTTCCTCTGCCTTTCTCTCTAAAAGCCGGGGTGTTGGCAGATTACAACCTATAGAAACAATATTCCCTCTGTTCAAGGACTTGAGAACTTGCTAATAGTGTGCCTGCAGTGGGAAGTAATCAGTTGGAGTTCTTTGGTTCCTAAGCTGTTTGTTTATGTTTTGATCCTTTTTATTTTCTTGAATATTTTTAGGCAACACCTGAGCGTCTCATCATGCATCTAATAGAAGAACATTCCATTGTTGACCCAACTTATATAGAAGATTTCCTATTGACTTATAGAACATTTCTTGAAAGTCCTTTGGATGTTGGAATCAAACTTTTGGAATGGTTTAAAATTGACAGCTTAAGGGATAAGGTTGGTTTTACAAACCTAAAAAACATGAAAGTGATTTTATACTTTAAGTTTTATTCATGAAACCTTTGCACTTGATGTTTATTTTGATAACAAGACTCCATTCACACACACAAAATTAGTCAATATAGACAAGTATATCTCTTGCTTTTATGACAGAACTTGCTAAAAGTAAAAATAAACCTAAACAAAAGGCAAAATTATTCAACATTGTGGTATAAATAAGTTCAGAATACTTGAGTATTTTTGAACTTTATCAAATTATGTGGTTGTTTCTGAAGGAGATACACAAAACATTTTAAAGTGATTAATAGTTTAAAAGGAATATTCCCCAAGTAAGTTTTTTTTTTTTCTTCCCAGATTGGCTTAGATTGTTGGGAAACCTCCAAATACAGTCATTTGAAAACAATTTGTTAGACTTTTAAGAATCTGTGACTTTTAAAAATTACCTATTTGTATGTATCTTCTTTAAAACATATTAAGTATATTTACCTTATGCATGTTTATTTAATAGATTAGTAATAGCACAACAAAGTGACAGGAAGGTAGTCATTTTAAGAACATTTTTAAAAAGGGCCAAAACTGCTGGGTATTAAAGGCAAATAAATTAGATGTTAGACTATAGACTTGTGTTACTTAAGACAAAAACTGCAAACATGCCTTTCCCTCCCTCCCCCATTTTGGCATTATATCCATTTACTTTAATTGTAAAAGGGGAAAAGGCATGCTAGAAAATTAACAAAAATAAGATTTAGGGACAGCTAGCTATCTCTATGCCAAAAATAAAAAGAATTTGGGTCCTTCTATCACATAGAAAAATTAAATAAAAATGAATCAAAGACCTATAATAGAAGAACTTTAATAATGTCTTAGAGAAAAAGAAGGGCTAAATAATTGTGGCTTTGTATTTGGCAGTGATTGTTTTAGCTAAGTGACCCAGTGCACAAGCAGCAGAGAAAAGATGACTGAATTGAACACCAAAATTAAAACCTTTTCCATCAAAGAACACCATCAAGAAAGACAGGGTAACACATAGAATGGGAGAATATATTTGTTTATACCTGTAACAGTCTACTATCAAAAGTTACTCTTAACAACTATCAAAAGAACTCTTAACAACTCTTAACAAAAGAACTCATCAAAAGTTCTCTTAACAACTCAACAAAAAAAGATAATACAATTTAAAAATGGACAAAGGATTTGAGTAGATGACTCTGAAGAGGATATATAAATGCCCAACAAACACATGGAAAAAACATTCAGCATCTTTAGTCAGGGAAGTGGATCCCAAAACCACATTGATCTGCTCTATACCTACTAGGATGGATTTTAAAAAATAAAAGGAAATAACATGTCTTTACATGGATGCAGAAAAATTGACTTTGTTAGCAATGAAAAATGGTTATGCTACATTTTTTTAAAATGTGTTGGCTTTTTCAAAAAAATAAAACAGAAATATCATATAACCAGCAGTTCTCCTAGGTATATTTATTTCCAAAGGAACTTAAAACAAGAGTGCAAAGAAACACATGTATATAGATGTTACGAGAGTAGACAAAGGTAGAAACATCTCAGATGTCCCTCACCTCATGGAGGAATTAACAAAACATTGTATAGCCACACAATGATAAGGAACAATAAACTGTTGTGTCCTGCAACACGGATGAAACCTGAAAACATAACAAATGGAGGGGGTGAGAAGCCAGACATCAAAGGTCACATTTATGAAATATCCAAAATAGGCAAATACACAGAAACAAAAAAGCAAATTACTAGTAGTTACTAAGGGCTAGAGAAATTTAGTTTGAGAAGTCACTGCTTAATGGACATGGGATTTTCTTTTGAAATGTCGATATATTCTAGGACTAGGTGCTTTCTGAAGGAGATGGGTATGGGTAAAACAGTGAAAAGTTATTGATAGTTCACAAAGAGTATTTCTAAAAGAAATTTTTTTCAAAGGAGCTTAGAATGTGAATGTGCTAAATCCCACTGAATTGTACACTTTAAAATTTTAAATTGAATTTCTTGTGTGTTCCACCACAGTTTTTTAAATAGACAAATTTAAATTTCTTACTAGTTTCATTTTCATTATTCAATTTCCATTTGTTAATTTCTAACTCCCTCTTAATCTGTTACAACAAGTCAATTCATGGTGCCAAAAATTTGTAGTATTTACAATAAAGGAAGTTTCAAATTTGTTTTTATTACAGTTTTGGTTACACACTTAACTATAGAAATATCTTTTATGATTGCTTGCTCTTAGAAGCTTGCATTTTAAGTTACTGTCTGAAACTTGCAGCTCCATGTACTACTTTGAAATACAGGCATGTCTTTGCATACAGGCCTTTGTTTTCTCAATAAGGCAGAGTCTCTTTGGTTCTCTCTGTTGTGTACACTGGAAGCAGAAGTTCAAACGAAACCATTCCTTTATGTTGGAATGAACCTTTTGTGTATAGGAAAGGGTGCGAGAAGATAACCATAAAGCTCAGTTTTCCCTTGGTTTGGACATTCTTTTGAAATCTACCTTTCCCTCGGTTTGGACATTCTTTTGAAATCTACCTGTTTCTTGTAAATGTATGCTGTCCTTTCCATGTTCCCACAGGTCACACGAATTGTGTTACTATGGGTAAATAATCATTTTAATGATTTTGAAGGTGATCCAGCTATGACTCGATTTCTGGAGGAATTTGAAAAGAATCTGGAAGATACGGTAAGGCCCAAAAGAATATATCATCTTCAGAATTTAAGGGTTCTCCCCTTCAAGGAATAGCAACTCAAAACAGTTTTCATCTCCTTTGTTTTGGAACAATTAGTTCTGAGAATTTTCAAACTTTTATTCTATACATAAATTATATATTCTGTACTCTAGACTTCTCATCTGCCACTCTATTCCAAACACAAATTCTGCTTCTTGCCTTCTGTTTTAAAACTAGTAGTAATGTTATCAGTCTAGTCATCTTGATTCAAATTATAAAGTCATCTGGTTCACTGATTTAGGCATTACACCTTCCTGTGGTCTTTCTCAGCCATTGTTTTTTCACCTTACTAAGGTATCGGGCGTTGTTTCATTTATTACGTAACTTGCTGAATTTAGTTACAGTCTCTCTTCCTTCTAGTCTGTTCTGTCTGGTCAAAAAATCATTTTAAAATTACAGATCATGTGAATATTGATCTGTCAATAAGCCAAGTTATTTGATATCACAGTAATTCTCACATACATATTCAGGTCCTTACTCTACATTTTCAGCTTTTTTTCCCTGCACACCCTAGATTATATCCAACCAGATATTTTCTTTAGTTTTCTCAAGTTGGTATTCTCTTGCCCTGATCATGCTGTTTTAAGTTCTTAAGTCTCCCTTCTGTGTGTGAATTCACTTATTTGAATATGCATTGCCTAAGATAGTCCCCTCAATGTCCTCTTAAACGTCATACTAGTAATTTGTGAAGCCATACTATTCTCCCTGTCAGTTATAAAGCTGAGCTGCATCTGGGTTTTCAACTCCAAGCAACTTAAATTTTAGGAAAGTAAATAATAGCATAGCTGATTGCCTGAATTTAGATCTAGCACCACCTCTGGCTATATATGTGAAATAGATCAAGGTGCCCCACTGCCTTGCTTGTCTTATATAGATAATTGACCCTTATTTATTGATATTGTTAGGATTGCACTGAACTAATGAATGAAACAATAGGAATAAAAGCTGGCATATAGTAGATGATGAGAAACTAATTATTACTCATAAATATAAGTGGTCAGAATTAAATAAAGGAGGAAATCAATACATTTTTATCACTTTCCTTACCCCTTGCTTCCTTAGTCTTCTCACCAGCACAACTGCTCTGTTTGAAATAAGAAGAATAAACAGGACTGGAGAACTAAATTAAGAGGTCATCGAGGCTCCTCACCATGTTTGATTTTCCCAAAGTTGGTTATATAGATATTAAAGGGGTTAATGGAATGCATAAATTTCCTTAAAATCATGAACCTTTATTCCCCCCCCCCCCCAGTAATAAATCAGTCATCAAGTATTTACTGAATTCTGCCTTATATTCCAAGGTGTTTAAGGTTCAAAATCATCCTAAGATTTCATCCCTGCCCTGAAACACTTATTTATTGTATGGCCATGAAATTGACACATATTTTGCTATCTCAGAATACTTGAATGTTAAAGTTGGTTTAGAACCTTTAAGTCAGACTACTAGTTTAAAGAGATCTTAAATAAGATAGGAATATCAGGTATAAATTTGAAAATGTGTCTTTGAATATTGGGCAGTGTTTGGAAAGGTGGTTCAAGTGTTAAGTTTTTTTAAGTTTCAAATATTTTATGTAATAGTATTGGAGTATGTGTTATAGGAAGTAATTTTTTGTCATCTCTCTCTATGTGAGATACCACTTTTAAATCTCTTCTAACTTGTAACTACTGAGAAACTTTAAAAAGGCACATTAAGAAATTTTGTGCTTGAGAGTGCTTTGGAATAGAAGTTTTCTGCCTTCAGTTTACTTATGCTGACATACATGTTCTTTGCTCCATATTTCAAATTATAGCTTTAATTCTGACCATTGTTGTTGATTTTTTTTAATGTATAGATGCATACATTTATAAACTTTACCTTTTCTGCTTTATAGAAAATGAATGGTCATCTCCGGTTATTGAATATTGCCTGTGCTGCAAAGGCTAAATGGAGACAAGTGGTGCTGCAAAAGGCTTCCCGGGAGTCGCCTCTCCATTTCAGCCTCAGTGGAGGAAGTGAGAAGGGATTTGGTATTTTTGTTGAAGGGGTAGACCCTAGTAGCAAAGCTGCCGATGCAGGACTGAAACGTGGTGATCAGGTAAGTAGCTACAAACATAGATTAAAGTCTGTTATTTGTATTCACTTCCGATATTTATTCAAGTAAGCATAATTGATGTAAGTAAATATTTTTGTTGTTTTTAAATGGCTTATGTTTAAATTATATTTGTTCTATATACCCATTACTTTTAATGGGAAATTTTGATACTGTGTGACCACAAGTACCCTGGTGATCTTGGCACTATCAACATGAACCCGTTTGAATGTTTTCATCCATCCTCCAAGGGTTAGGAATCGTATGATAGCAAAACTACACCCATAAGCAGAATGAGCAAGACGAAGGACTAGGAAAAAGGAAGAGACTCAGGAAATTGGGGGTTGGGGGGGTTATTTTCTACATATAGTGTTAGGTTACTGTAGAGCACTATATTTCAAAATGTGATCTATTGATGATTTTGTTGGTAAAATTCAGAGAGGATGACTAACAGTTTTTAATCAAAGCTGTCAGATTTTCATGAAAACCTGTTTCTTTTTTAAAATTTTTTTATTTATGCATACAGAACTGGGGTTTAGGCGAGAGGTACAGGGGGACAGAGGATTTACCAGAGACAGAGTGGAGAGCAGAACGGGCAGATACACTGCATTACACGGCTGAGGGAAGTGGCAGGCGAGACAAAGAGAAGTCTGCCCTGCAATGTGGCCAGGGATCAAACTGATGCTACAGTGGCTGCAATAGCTTCATAGCACTATGCTTTAACCCATTACACCACCAGAGAGGGCCCTAAACCTATTTCTTTTCCCAAATACACTTTAATCACTTGGGAGGAGTGCTTTATTCCCATTTAAAACTTTATTCATTTTAGAATGTTACTTTGTATTACTTTAAACCACATGGTCTTGCTTTTTTAACAAGAGGCCATTCACATGATGAAAATTTCAACACTTCAGAGCAATAGTTCTCAATAGGGGGTGATTTTATATCTTCTCCACCCCCAAGAGTTTGCAGTGTCTGGAAATATTTTTGGTTGTAATGACTTGGACATTACATCTGGATAAAGGTGTAGATGCAGCTCTACAGCCCACCATCCCACCCAATGAGAAGTGATCTGTCCCAATGTGTCAGTAACGCAAATGATTAAGGAATTGATAAAAAAAATTGTGGTAACCTGGGCCTTTCTGTTGTCACAAGGGATTAAATCTCAGCACCATAAAGCTATCCACAACCGATGCAATTCAAGTTGGATCCCTAGCCAGGGAGCTGACATGGCACAGAAGACCTCTCATATCTAGCCTACTGTTCCCCTCAACAGTGTATTTCAGTGGATCCACCTGTTCTCCTATTCTCCCATTCTGGTAAATCCTCTCCCACCTTTATCTCTAGCCTATACTCTGGTTCTTGTATGCAAATGAAAATAAATATTTAAAAAAAGAAAAGAAAAAGTTGTGGTAATCCTCTTCTTTCCCTAGGGGTTTTAAAAAGTACTTATCTGTGCTTTAACCCAGACTATTCATTAAGGATATAGTAAGTAGGGTCATGAAGTCATGCATTGTTAAGGGTTTTTTTTTTTTTTAAGATTTATTTATTTGTGCATACAGAACTGGGATACAGGCCAGAGGCTCAGGGGCAGCAAGAGGCTTCACCAGAGACAGAGAGGGAGGAGAACAGGCAGATCAGCGAAGTACACTGCTGAGGGGAGGCAGGTCAGGAGAGGTCTGCCACGCCATGTAGTCACCTCCGGGGCAGGCGGGAATCGAACTCATGCGGAAGTGGCTTTAGCTTCTTAGTGCTGTAATTTAACCCGCTGCGTCACCAGGGAGGGCCTTGTTCAAGTATTTTATTGTGAATAGGTTTGCAATAAAGAATCTCATTCTTTACACACACACACACACACACACACACACACACACACACACACACAAATAGTCCAGTGATATCATGCATTTCTGCCTGCCTATGATTATGGAGTTGATATTTTTTCTATCTTCTTGTCTTAATAGACCTGTCCTTTCAAAATGTTAAAAAGAAAAATGAAATCCAGTGATTTCATTCATGATAGTGAAATTTTTCATGCTTTTCTTCCCTCAATTTTTCAGCTAACACTGAAATTATTTGAGGTTTTAGACTGCATTTATTGTCACTTTTTAAAGTTATGTATCTTCTAAGAATACCTTGGCATTTGCATTAGTTTCATAACCTTATTACCAGTGATCATTTAGTCATTTACTCCTGCTTTACTGATTTTTTGATTTATTGTGCCTTATGTATCCGTATCTTTGACTGGTTTCCACTATCACCTTCTAGTAATTCTAGTTCCTGTTCTATTATCCTTTAGAAAGGACAGTTGAGTACTATACTTTTACATGTCCTTATATGTCTGGAGATGCTTTTGTAGAGAAGGGTATAAAATTATTTGTTTTATAGTTTTTTTTTTCCCCTCACAACTTTGAAGTCACAGAAAAGTATCACATCATATTGGTGTTGTCCAAAAGACATTCAAAGCAAAGTTTTTCTTTACTAGGTGCTTTTCACTCCACCTTTCTCCTCATTGTGATGCTTATCGATTTTTTGTTCTCTTTTCTTGCTTAGAAAACCTTTGTGTATGGTACTATACGATCAATTTCGGCATGTAAACTCGACATTTTTCAGTAATGGGAATTTTCTGGGATTTCTTTTTCTTTTCTTAATACTTTATCTCCTTTTCTTTTGTTACGCTTTTAGACTTTTTATGCCAGTTCCTGGGATCTTGCTTTTATCTTGCTCTATCTTGCTTTTAATTTCTTTTTTTCCTTCTGTTTATATCTCCTAGACCATGAAGTAAGTGTTTTTTTAGGTAAGTGTCCTGTATGACTTGGAGGTACATCCAGGTTTGAAGGATGAGAACCCACTGCAGTTGTGCTTTTGACTATTGATAATGTCACTACAAAAATTGTTAATAGATGTAATTAGAGCACCACTTTTAAATGAGTACAGTTTCTAAATTTGTATTTTTCAAATACCTTTTTTAAGATAATGGAAGTAAATGGACAAAACTTTGAAAACATTACATTTGTAAAGGCCCTTGAAATTTTGAAAAATAATACTCATCTTGCACTGACTGTGAAGACCAACATTTTTGGTGAGTTTTGTTGTGAAAACTTGACTTTTTTGTAATAGCCAAAAAATCATTATAAGAAAAGGACAATAAAATGTACATGTTTTTTCTAAGCAATTTTAACATTTTTAGGAGAGCTGTTGAAATATGTGATATTTTCTAGAATGTTTGTTTTCTGTTATATGTATTTAGTAGTTTGATATCATCGTAAATTTTAAAATGTGTACAATTATCTTCAGTGCATCATTGTGAAATATTGTTATTGTGTATTGTATTTTGTAGGGAATACTGAGTAAAGCTTAGATGGCATAAATTTTTCCCCTTACTAATGTGCAATCAATGTACTTCTGTCTTACTTTCCTGAAGTAATCACGCAAATGCCAGGTGATTTATTTAATGAAAATAAGTTGGGTGTTTCATTTGAATAATAAGTGAACTATATTTTTAGTAACAGCATACTTTCTATGTAAAAAATGTTACTTAATGTGCATGTTGTGTTTTGATCATGTTGGTTGAAATAAGAATCTTGTAATTTTTATTGTCCTTAACTTTTAGGAAAGACCTTTTTACTTTGATTTCTTCAGATACCATAGGCTTTTCTATGAAATTATGAAAAGGCAAAAATAAAAATTAGTATAATACTAGAAAACTGTCAAAGAAAATTTAAGAAGTCCTTATAAAGTAGGGAGGGAAATTTTCTCTAAGTCATGTAGGTTGCAATTTGAGAAGTAAGAGTTGAATTTAAAAGTTACGTCTATGGAAAAGGAAGTGTGAGGATATTTTTTTTCACTATGGCTCCCAGTATACTGTACTTAGTCATATGAAAAATGAAATACTTGGTGTTTTTCCTCTTTTCATTGAGTCCCTTAAGTTACATTATGTTAAATTGGTATAATTGCTTATGTACAATTTCCTAACATTAGCACAGCACAGAATAAATACATAAGCCTTGACAGTTTCTCACATTCCTGGAGTTTGGGCTAGTATTTGGAAACATCAACTTTGGGACTAAACTTTATGGGATTCTAACTTTGGAAAATACAATAACAGGAAATTGCTCTTAATACCTAGAACAAATTACTTCATCTCTCCAAGTTTCAGTTTTTCTATCTCTATGTCATAGGGTTCTTACAGGCATCAAATACCTTTAAACTCCTTTTGTTTGGCACATAGTGATTACTAATATCAAATATTATATGTAAAAATAAAGGCAGTGTAATGTAGTGATTAGTAACATGTACCTTAAAAGACAAAGTGGGTAAAAAGAGTATAAAATTCAGGGAAACTACAAACACCATTCTTTGAGTGGTCATCAACAGTTGCCCATCAGATCTTTAGGTGAATGTAAGAGAGGTGAGGGGGTTAATGTAGTATTGTAAAGGGGGGCCCATGGCAGTCAGTGTCTTCCTCCTTATTAGTAGTTGTCAGTATTCATTCCAATCAAAACAGTGTTTCTCAAAGAAGTGTTAGTAAATATTTATAGAAAAGGGGTGCTCCAGTCTGGGAATGGTACTTGCCGTAATACTTATGAAATTGTGAAGCAAAATTGAGCAGTTAGGTTATCCTGCATGGAATTTACAGTAAGGAATGCTACAAAAAGGGAAGTTGTGATCAGAAAATACATTTCTTTAGATTCTCCAGCAAAGCATGCATAGTTGGTCACTTTGTATTAAAATTTTACAACCAAGGATCACCAGTCATAGAAGAATCAGGGTCATTAACTAGGTATGACGGTCCACCTAAAAATGAGGTTACAGATTCTGGAGAAAATAGTTAATTTAAGGAAAGGAGAAAACACATATGTAAAATGCTTCTCAGGTATTTAAGATTATCACTTAAAGCGAGCAGGACATTAGGAATAAATACACAATCATTGAGAAAAAAACTAGTATACAGTATGGCATCATTTGAATACCATGCATGGGGTTCATCTTATGTTTATGATAATAAAAGAATCAGCTTCGTTTAATTAATCATTCTATGACGATAAGTGAGATATTTAAGAGATTGTTTTCATTAAGTTTTACATATCTTTCATTTTAATCATGTAAATTTCCTTGTTCATGATGAACTGCTTAGTCCAGTTACATTTTACTTGCATGATAATTTGAGTTTTGTCATGTTTGGGATTGTTCATAATGATATAGTATATAGTTAGGTAAATTTTCTGTTATAGTACCCAGACTCACCACTTAACACTCCTTAATCTTTGAGGGCTTCAGTAAAAATTGATAGTGAAGACAAAAACTTTAAATAGCAGGAAAGATAATACAATTTAGGAAAGTTCCCGGACTGTTGAAATAAAAGCAGAACTGTTACAGGATATTTGACAGAAATCCAAAGTCTGGAAAACTATACTTTGTACCACAGTCCACAGAAGGCTAACCAAAATACACATTTTCCAGAAGAGAGATAAATGGGACTCAGCAATTTAATTATAACAAGGATCCGAGATCCTTTGTTCCAGCTCTATGTATTTATTTTGTTAAGGTCTGCTGAGCTTTTGAATGTGTATATGGATGGCTTTGTTTAGTTTTAAAAATGTCAGGGGTATTGTTTCAGATAATAATTTTGCCCCTCTTGACTTTTTCATATTAGAAATTACAGCTCTTCTATTTTAGAAGAATAGCATCCCATCTATCCTCTTGGTCTTTTTCTGCTTCCTGTGTTACCCCTCTTTATGCTTTACTTTGTCTATTTTTTTAATGGCCAGTTTTTTCAAGTTATGTTCCTTTCTGCTATATCCAGTCTGTTGTTAAACACGTATAGTGAGTTTAATGATAGATATTGAATTTCTCAGTTCTAGAATGTCCATTTGAATTTCTTTATAGATGCCATTTCTCTATTGCAGTTGTCCAACTTTTACACCCATTTTTATCTTTTTTTTTTTTTGGATGAGATAAATCCTTGTGTATTAATGCCAACTTTTGAATTATATTTAATTCCACTTTCTTCTTTGACTAACTTATTTTCTCTTATAATTTTTCATTGCTTGCTATACTTTGTGTATAGCAACTTAGAGAATAGTAAAATATTTTCTCACAGACAGGATCTGCCATTTCCTCTGGTTAAGCAAAGTAAGAGGAATTAAGTGTGGTCAGAATTCTTAGTGTGGTTGCAGAATTATTTAGACTGTGTACAATGGTTTCAAGTTGAGAGAAATATCTGTCATGTGCTTAATAGGTCCCCTCCTCTAAGGGAACTTTGCCCCTAAGCACCAAGAAATTGCAGGAAATTTCACTCAACTTTTTTAGCTTTATCCTTTTGAAATCTCTATCATTCTACTCCCAATCTCTAAAGCGTTAAATTTTAATTCAGCTTGATATTTTTATTTTTAAGTTCTCCCCTTCAGAGATTTTGAGCTTATTTCTTTAGCTCAATGTCATGTGTTTCTTGCAAGTCTTCTCCTATTGTATGATTTGACCTGAAGTACCATGAGACACATTTTTAGCCAGTCCCAGCCTCTTCCATTATCTTACTGACAGTGCCCTTGGAGACTTGCATAAGAATACCTCTACACTGCATTTATACGCTACTTTGTAGACTGGTAGGTACCCTTACCACAGTCAGGAATGTTCTTGTACCCATTCAAAGATTACCTGCTGCTTTTAACAGAAAATTCAAACACTTTACCTTAGCCTTACCATCTACTTCCTTTGCCTTGTTTTTTAGTCAGTCTAATTTTCTTGTACTTTCTCTAACACAGGGTCTTTGAATTTGAAGTTTAATGTACCTAGAATCATCCCTCGTTTGCCTAGTTAAAATTAATCTTAGTGATCTCTTCTTACACAATGACATGATTGGGGAAGATTTTCCCTTTCTCACTATTTTAATTCCTTGCTTTATGTTCTTTGTGTCCCATATATCTTAAGCTGACTGGAATAACAGAAGGAATTTACAGATATCTAGTATAGTAACTGACATGTAAATATTTTTTGAATGGATGAGTATCTTGATTTTAGCTCAGAAAACATTTTTATCTTTATCACATGGCCAAAAAATAGAGATATTTTAAAAAATACATTTACTTTGTAATGTGCCAATTTTAAAGGCTTAGTCCATTTAAATCTTGTCCTTAGATTACAATTTTCAGTGGTAAGGGCTTCAAAGGGCACATTTTTCCAGTACATACCTTTTCTTTTACAAATGTGCATTGAAGATACAGCTCACTGAGTATTTGGTTCTGCATACCATGTGACTGAATATGCAGCTACCATTTCTGTTTCATTTAGACCCCAGTCCTGCCTTAAAATTTTAGGAAAGTTGAACATGTCTTTTGCAGCAACTTGGATGGAGCTGGAAAAGATCATGCTTAGTGAGATAAGCCAGAAAGAAAAAGAAAAATACTGGATGGTTTCACTGATAGCAGGAGTATAATGGACCAGGCGAGAAAATAACAATAATAATAATGAACAACCATATATCAGAGACATTTTGTGGGGGTGGAGTGGGGAATGAGATAAAAAACAGGGCGGCGGAAATGCACGGGACTATGGTAATGGCACACGGGTGACTCGGTGATGGGAAACCCACGGGGATTACAATTGAGATGAAAAAAAATGCATAAAATGATGTAAAAATAAACTATTGCATTATACAAAAAAAATTTAGGAAAGTTGAATTCCACTTTAGCATTTATCCTTTAGTCTTCTTTCCTTAGCAATTTACAAAAAAAAATTAAAAATAGGTAATTGAAATTTTCTCAACTAGAAAAGGAGATACTTGGCTTAATCATATTTCTGCCCAATGTCAGAGAGGGATATCCTCTTTCAAAAAATGAAAAGTTGGACCCAGGCAGAGAACGTTATAGTCAAGTTCTCTAATGTTCCTGCTCCTTCCTTTGCTTTTTACTTTACTAAGTGATATAAGTCTCATAAATAGGACCTTCAGGAAATTGTTGTATATTTGTTTCTGGTGAAACAGGTCCAGCAAAAGCTCCTCCCATTTTCTTCAGTGACTAAATTTTGCAAAACTGAGCATAACTAGTATTTGTAGCTCCTCGCAGATGAGTTAAGGATTAATATATAAATAAAAAAATCTAAATATCTAGATCTTAAAAATCTGAGTTTTACAGTTTTAATACTTCCTAAATAAGAACCCCTGAGCTTTTCAAATATGTTGGCAGTCTGCCCATATCCTTTGCATTTTGCCCCAGTGACTCTTAACGCTCTAAGAGAGAAGTGGATGCAATTAAAGGATGAATATAAATTTCATATTTAGTGCATGAGGCTCTGAAAGAAAGCAGCTGTGTTTATACTTTAAATTTGTTTTTGGTGTAAAAGCTTTCTAATGAGAAGAAAAATGACAAATGTTATTTATTTCCACAGTGTTCAAAGAGCTACTTAGTAGAACTGAACAGGAGAAATTTGGTGTACCTCATATTCCCAAAATTGCTGAAAAAAAAAGTAATCGCCATTCAATCCAGGATGTACCAGGAGATCTTGAACAGACATCACAGGAGAAAGGAAATAAGAAAATAAAAGCAAATACCGTTTCAGGCGGAAGAAACAAAATCAGGAAAATTTTGGATAAAACAAGATTTAGTATCTTGCCTCCAAAACTATTTAGGTAGGTAATGCCAGTCTCATTCACATAGGCATTTTTGTGTAGACTATAAAATTTTTATTTTTGGAAAGAGGGTTTTGAGTCAGTTTTATTTTTTTATGCAACTAACAGATAAGACCTATAAGCAGTCTGTAAATAAGAATACAATTCAGCTAGTCTTCCCATAATTTCCATGATAAACTATACTTCCATTAGCCTTAACTTTGAATTTTGAAAACAACTGTAATTGTATGAATTTTTGTGAGTATGTGTATTTCTGTTTCAATTTCAGTCCCTTTGTCTACAGATTTGAACATATTAACCCTAGGGGTGCATTTACTAATACCAATTTGTTTTTTAAATCTTTTTTTTTTTTAAGTGGAACTTTAATTCCTATCTAAATTTTAAAGCTGATTTTTTAAACATACCTGTTTCCAAAAGGAGAAAAACTTTTAAGATTTTAAATCTAAATTAAGGTCAGTAAAATACTAACAAAATTAATCTCATGACGAGTCATAACTAGGTATGATTCTACTATCTATTAATATTAGTGTAAAGTAATCATTAAAGTTCTAAATGCTTAGCTCTTGATAGACACTCCGTATTTGTTAAGTAAATTAAGACAGTGAGTTTATCTGTGAAAGAAAATTCCTGATAGCTTTGAAATCTATGCTAGGTTTAAGGTAAATACAGAGCCAAAAAGAAGATAGTCCCTACCTTTAAGCAACTCTTATCAGGAACCTTTTATTTTCCACACAATATATTCTACAAAATAAATCTTCATTTATTATGTTAGGCTCAATATGTAGAGAAAACTTAAGTAGGACAAGTTTCTTGTTTTAGACAACCAACATTTGGCTTTTATAATGTTATTTATAATGACAGTAATAAGGTTGGTAGATTACAGGCTGTTCATATATGTACACCTAGAGATGAAGTAAGTGCTAGATTCTGAAGTACTTTCAATATTGTGCTAAAGATGGGAACGTCATCTGATGGTGGAGCCACAGAAGGTATCTTCTTTTGGAAGTATCTCTAGCTAGCTGTGTTAGTGGTTTGGGATTGGAGGTGCAGCAAAATGTGGCAGTAGTAGCAAGGTAGCTAATTAGGCAACTTGAAACTAAGTAGAATGTGAATTCTCATTTATATAGTTCAAAATCTCACATTTTCTGTCGGAAATTATTCTTGAGTTCTTATTTCCAGTCAGGGAAACACACTTGCTCTTCATATAATTAGGGACCTGCTCAGAGGATTGAAACATCCTGAGCCCTGGTCTTAATGTCACTCATTTCTAGAAAGTTTATTACTCATCTTTTCTGAGTGACTGTTGTCTTTGAGGTCAATGGTTTATAAAATCATAACTTTAAAATGGTTGAGTTATTTAATAATTAACATGCTGTGACATGACAGTCTAGTGGACAGATAAGAATGAGTGAGATTGTAAGAGGGGCAAGTCCACACTGAAGAGATTGGGAATCGTTTTTGGATAAGCAAGTACTGTCATTCAGGAGTTAATTATTAACTATTATTAAACTGGCTATATCTTCTGAACATGTTTCAGTGAAGTGGAATGCTAATAATTTCACTTAGATACCAAGGAAAAATTATTTTAGGAGAAATCATGAAAGTTTTCAATTGGAGCCTATTTTGTGGAGGGAACTGCGGCATCATTTTACCTTTTGTACTGGCCCTTTTGTATTCTTAACACTCTTTATGTGGTATTTCTTGCCATTCATTCACCCATTTGAAATTAATTCAGACCACATTTTTTGCTACTTATATTTAAAAATTTCAGTAGGAAAATAGAAAACATGAATCATATTCAGCTTCAACAGTAAAAAGGATATGCAATTTAAAACAGTATACGATTTATTTTATTACAGATTTCACAGAGAATTGTCAGGGCCAGAACCGATAAAATAAAATAGATAATAAACTATTGTCTGTGGGAATATAAACTCATGTAAACTTTCAGTAAAACATTTGGGTAATGTATTTTAATAACATCTTTAAAGATGCCCATTAATTCAGTAATTCTATTTTTGTAAGTGTATATGTACACATACATATATGGAGATACTCTTAAAAGTATTACCTATATTAACACAAAATTGATAACAACCTAAGTGTCCAAATACAGATGATTAATTAAATAGTGCTCTATGACAGAAATTTGGCTACAAAGAAGACTGTCAATTGTGGCCTTCTCTAACATGTAGTTTTATGAGGGACTATTTTCATTTCTTCCTTGTTTTAAAATTTCTACTTTGCATATTTAGATTTTAATTTAAAAATAAAAGTTTTCGATGTGTTTAATTCCAAAATTTCTGAAAATTTCCTATGTTCCAGGATTCTACGGAAGGGACACTTGGTCTCTTATTTATAGCTCTTACTTATTTAAGAGAAGGGATGCTTGCAGTTGTCATAGGTAGCTGTAACACTGTTTATATCTGTGAGAGGAGTGAAGAAAATGAATGCAAGGAAGGAATAGTTGGAAGGAGACTTGACAGTCCCAAAACCTCTAACCAAAATATAATTTAAAATGAAAGAAAGGTCCTGAATATTAGAAGGAAAAAAGTTAATTTTTGTGTAACATTTGTAAATTAAGCATAACAATGTAGTTTTTATTGACCTGAGATTATTTCACAATACAGAAAATCGGATTTTTTTTTTCTCAACTTATTTTTCCTTAATCACAGATTGCCTAAGAAACATCTTTGTATTATTCAGTGTAATATTCCAGAAGTATACTGGCTTGTTTGCTTATCAGAAATTATTTTTCTCTTTAATTCTTATTATGGTATATACTTTTGTTTGCTTTTAATATTGGGATATTTTTATTTGCATATTGAATTGTCACCTTTTATGAAGTCCTAATGTGAAAATAAAATACACTTTATTGTAAGTAAACTTAGTGTTGGGGGATTATTGAGGTATTTTTCATCTTGTTTTTGTTACTGCATCACCTCAGGAGACTGTTTTGGTAAGAAATGACATTTTTTTTTTTTTTTTTTTTTGCAAATGGGCTTTATCTATTAAGCTTCCAAGCAAGCATGGATATTTTGCCAGTTATATACTGTTTCATTCATGTCATAGCATGAATTATACATAACAGTAGTATAGTTTTCATTTATACATGTTCATACCTTAATTATCATGAATGCCAGCTTGACACTATAACTATACAGTGTTACATCTATTAGTTATAAAAAGAAGTAATGTTAAATAACATCAGAGAAATAAAGATTTCTAGTACTTTTCTGTAGTAAATTTTAACTTGCTGCAACCAACGTAGCCAATTTCCTTTGATAGAAAATTTCAATTTTTAACATTGTTGAAGTTGCTTCCACCAGATTATTAAGAGAAACAGTTAATTGCTTTACTAGATTGCTTCCTTGGATTTAGTTGCCTGATCTTGTATGTCCAAACATTGGCAGATTTAATTTTAAAAGTCAATTTTTAACTTTTTTTATAAAATATATTTAATTAATTGAAATGTTGCCAAATTATTTACAAAGCTATAAATAAAATATCTGGGAAATATTTTTTTTCCTTTCCTAATCTAGAACAGTTCTGATCTTTAGGCATATACACCTATTTATCAAGAGCCAATTTAGCATAAGCACAAATAAGGTATTTCCTTTGCCTTAACTGTATCTGTCAGACTAAACTCCCTTCTCTTCCCAGTAAAACATTTGTTTCTATTGGGCCTTGACCCTATGTACCTACCCTGCCTCCCTCTGGTTTTCAGTAGGAATTGCTTAAATTCTCTGTAGGTTTATACAATTCTGTTTAATTTTGGCCGAAGTACTACACTCTTGTCTTAAAAATATAAATCCCCTTTTGCTCTGTGTAAAAAATTCACCTGCATTGGGCCTCCATGGTGGCACAAGGGCTTGAAGCACAGCACTGTGAAGCTGTGCTCAGTTACTATAGCAGGAGTTTGATCCCCAGCCAGGGAGGTGACCAACAGGGTGCAGCAGACCTCTCCTGTCGCAACCACTGCTCTCCTCAGCAGTCTGTCTGCCTGTTCTGCTCCCATTTTGTCACTGGTGAAGCCTCTCAATCCCCACATCTCTGACCTGTACCCTGTTTCTTGTATGCATAAATAAATGTTAAAAATAACTACATTACGTACAATATTCACCTGCACTATCTAACTTAATCCTCTCAGTAGTCCTGGAGGATAGATAGCATTATTCATTTTTTTTTTTTAAGATTTGTTTGTGCATACAGAACTGGGGTACAGGCCAGAGGCTCAGGGGCGGTGAGAGGCTTCACCAGAGATAGAGTGGGGAACAGAATAGGCAGATGGACGAAGTACACTGCCGAGGGGAGCAGCGGGTGGGTCAGGAGAGGTCTGCCACGCCATGTGGTCCAGGGCAGGCGGGAATTGAACTCATGCGGAAGTGTCTTTAGCTTCAGTGCTATGCTTTAACCCGCTGCGCCACCAGGGAGGGCCCACATTATTCATATTTTTAGAGGATGAAACTAAAGTGCAGATATAAAATTTCCCGAGGTCACACAACAAATAGCTCAGCCTGTCTAACACAGTTTACTCTTGAAAAACTTATCTTTGTTCTTTTATGTCATGCTTTTTCACTGACTCCTTTGCTCTCTCTTACCCTGGCCTTTTCTTTCTTGTCTGTCTACTAATAGTCCTTAAGTTGTTTATTTAGTACTGCATATTGCATAGTTTCCAAATCTGCCTAAGTTGTAATTTTTACAGCAAACATATTCTAGATAGAACTCATTTTTAAGACAAAATAATCCATTTCATGATGCTAGGTAAGTTTTCTGTGATACCTCTGTATATGTACAAGTACTGGGTAGGGTACTGCTGCATTAAATGAACTACAGATAGAAATTAATAGTAAACTGAAACATTGGTTTTTAATATAAGTACAACCCTTAGAAATAAATGGTATTTTTGTTGATGATGTTGGAAATCTTTTATTGTTTATTTTAATTCTATGTTTTAAAGAACTTTTGGGTACCTGAAACTTAAATGACAGTTGAAGTTTTTTGATTTATTTTTCTTCCATTTACAGTTGCCTGAGTAACACTTTAAAACATGTTAAAGGAAGAATATTTTATTTAATATGCCCATGTAATTGATCATTGTTTTTGAGATCTTAAAAAGGAATTAACTTTATGTAACTAGTTTGCTGCTATGGTTTTGATGTTCTCATCTAGCAGATAGCCAAAAAATGAGACCTGAGAGATCCCCCAAGAAAAAGTACACCCTTAGAATAAACTTCAGAGACTTAAAAAAATTTTTTTTTTAATGTATTAATTTCTGACCCTTATGCTTCCTCTCCTCTTTCCACCACACCTCACCTCTTTCTATTTGTTACGTATTTGTTGCTCTTCTTTGTACCATCTTTTCCCCCTAGTCTTGATGTTTTGGACAGTTACCAGGCTAATCATGTTTAAACACCTCTCATTTTGTCATTTGAACCTGACCCTTCTGTTATGTACAACTTGTCATATTTTGGATTTGGGTTTTCAGCCTGTATCCATTCTTTGATTAAGTCATCAAGCCTTTCTATTGAGAGACAGCCTTGCCGTGGCTCTGCATTGTTGGATACATATATTATTATTGCCTGAGATCAGCAGTTCATAAGGGCTCCCTAAATACTCAGGTTCAGCTTCTGTACCAAAACCAGCAGAAGATAAATATGATTATTTCTCTATGATGTAGAACAATTACTTCGATGCATAAGTTTTATTTTAGTATAATTGTTTAAAAAACAATTCGTCATTGCAGTTACCCGTTTATGTTTTAAACCACCTCTTTAAATTAGTTCTATTAGGGTTTAGTGCACAGAGAACAGAAATGTTTATTATTAAATTCCTTCAAATAATTTAAAGTGACATTTGACATTCTTTTGAAGTGATGGAGGCCTGAGCCAATCGCAAGATGATAGCATTGTGGGAACAAGACACTGTAGGCATAGTCTTGCTATAATGCCTATTCCTGGAACTCTCTCATCAAGCAGCCCAGATCTCCTACAGCCTACTACCAGCATGTTGGATTTTTCCAATCCTTCAGGTAATTTGTGATTTTATTTCTCTATACTATTACCAAATGGTTCAGTTTATACAATTAATACTAGATTTGTTTGTAGCCTTCTTGGTTCTAGTTTGTGATGGTGGGAAAAAAAGGCCATGAAAGAGAAAACTAGATCTTTTTATCCAAACTGCTTGGTACCTCCACCAATATGAATTAAGTAAATGGAAAAGAGATTACATTTCATTATTTTTTGTTAACCCTAATTGAAGCAGAGATACATCCTCTTAGACAAGAAACATGTGGTTTGTAAAAAGAATAGGGCAGATTATTTTAATCTAACTTAGTTTCTCTTACCTTCTGAGATGTACAGCAATGTGTTAGTTATTGTCTAGTAATTGGTTTTCCAGAAATTGATTTTCCCCAATCCTTATCATGTATTGTTAATTAAGTACTATAGCTTCTTTTTATTGACGTTCAATCTTTGTGTAATACATTGAGTTAATTTTTCTGTATCTCTTAATGCCTAGAGGCAGAAATTGTCATTTTCCTATATGACCTAAAATTTCATTACATGGTAGAAAAATATTGGCCTGGAAGAATTATTTATACACCAGTCACTTGAAAGGATTTAAGATGATTTTCAATAAAAGAGCCCTGGTGGCGCAGAGGGCTTAAGCACAGAACTGTGAGGCTATCCATAGCCACTGCAGCACAAGTTCAATTCTCAGCCAGAGAGGTGACCCATGTGGGGCGCAGAGACCTCTCCTGTCTCATCCAATACTTCCCTCAACAGTGTATTTCAGTAGATAAACCTGTTCTTTTCCTACTCTGTTTCTAGTGAATCCTATCACCCGTCCGCAACTCTGGGCCTGTACCCGAGTTCTTGTATGCATAAATACATAAGTCTTAAAAAAAAAAAAAATTTTAAAAAGCCATATAATTAGTATCCAAGAAGGGGGGTGGGGGGGTAAAAATAATTCTACAAAGATCAGTGAGGTTATGATGCTGCTTCAGTTCTGACAATGAAGTTCCTACTATCTAGGATTAAAGGATGTGTAGAGGGGACTTGGTGCTAAGGAGTGAATGTAATAAAAGTAGTAAAGTTTATGTTTTTTATAGCACCTTAAGTAAAAATTCTAGAGTGCAGCAATAAAAGCCATTTTAGTGAAAGTAAAGTATTCCTGTTTTTTCCTTTTAAAGAGATACTGAAACCTCTGTCTTGACACATGCTACTCTCTACTTGACTACCAGTGTTCTTTCCTGAACAAAGATGTTAATGAGTTACTTTGCTTAGAAGTTTCTAAGTGATTTCTAGTTTTCTAATCATAGTCACAGTTAAGTTGTGATATTAAAATCTACTCCAGATACTGATCCTTAATATATAAAATTGTTATAGTTGTTAAGTGTTTACCCGAAAGACTAGTAGAAAAGCAAACACTAAGCTATTTCAGAGGTCAGAAAATTACAAAGTGAGTTGAACTTATGGTACATGAAAGGGATGGTACTACAAGATGAGCAGTGTTGCTGGGATGATAAGAGGAACAACCCCCCCCCACCCCCCACACACAGAAAAACAAAGTAGCAAGTTTCTTCTTTTTTTATTTTCAAGATTTATTTATTTATGCATACAGAACTGGGGTGCAGGCCAGAGGTTGCAGGGGTGGTACACAAGACAGTAGGGAGCAGAACAGGCAGTTGACGAAGTACAAGGTTGAGGGGAGCAGCAGGCGAGACAGGAGAGGTCTGCTGCACCATGTGGGTCACCTCTGGGGCAGGGATCAAACTCACACTGAAGTGGCTGGCTAGCTTGCAGTGCTGCACTTTAGCCCACTGAATCAGCAGGGAGAGCCCGCAAGTTTCTTCTTTAACCTTGCAGTTTACTTCCTGTGTCCCTTTTTGGCAGAAAATAAAAGGGAGCCAGTTGGAAGGCAAGGGATTTGCAGAGTCTCAGCCCAATCATCACAAAGTAAAGTGGGTTTGGAATCTTAAGACAATAAACTAATGAATGTTGATGTCCATTTTCCCTAGCCTGATTATAAACACCTTTTCTGGCCTTCTGTTCTGCCGTTCTCTTCATCCATCTTTCCTGGGTATAGCATGCACCTTCACGACTCTTGTCTGTCCATGCTGTTTTCCACCGATGGTGTTCTCTCTCTGCATATCCCATGAATTTTTTTCTTACTCCTCGATGTTGAACTGAGTTACTAGGTCATCTGGGAAGCCCAGTTTCATAGCTAGAATTAGTCTTTCCTTTTCCAAAAACTCTAGCACATTTTCTTTGTCTGTCTTATATTGCTTGTCATGTGACATAGCATGGGAATTTGTTTTCACGTCTACTTATTTGTGCTCCACAGTGGTACTTCTTACACTGTATTGACAAATTATTTCACACTACCAACACACAAGCTAAATAACATACTTTTTGTATGGATATTTAGGAACATACAATTTATAGGCTAATTTTATTTTTTTACTGGATATATTTATGCCAGGCAGATGTAGAAAATGAATGAAAGAGTAAAAAGATGGGTTGTAGGGATAGGAGAGACAAAAGTGATCTGGGGGATTAGCTAGGGAAAGAAAGGGAGCTGGTTGGAATTAAGAAGATTTGGAAATCTTATTAATTACTAATCATAAAAATTCAGATATCTGACTGAGATACTAGTTACTTTGCTTTCAGATTGACTGCATAATTCTCATTGAAACATGTTGAAAAGACTGAAAATGCCTCTTTAAAATCTAAGGATCTGTCTATAAAGATGTCTACAGCCTGTATCCATATCACAGTACAGATGAACATATATAAAATACATGTTTAAATTACACATTACATTTTTAAACTCCAAAATGCACATTATGAAAGACCTTTACAGTGTTATATTTATGTCAAATAAGATATTCATTACCAGTTAATTCCAAACTCAACTTCTTAGATTACATATGCCACCACTGAAATTTAGGTTAGCTGTGTATATCTCATAAATACATTATAGCACGATGACATCAGTTGAGTTTGATTAACGGCTATCAGTCTGGATGCCAGCTGTGTTTATACTACATGGTTAAAGATACTAGAAAGTGGGGACAAAGCTGTGTTCAATAGTTTGCTTTTGATTGCTGACATTTTCATGGTTTTGCTTTGTTTCTGCTGCCTACAGCTGTTGGTTTTTACTGTAAGTATCTTGAAGAGTATGGTATTACATTGCTTGTGTTTGTATTCTTTTATTATTTTGTAGAAGTAAAATTATGCAGAATTGAATGAAGTATAAACAAGTTTTCTTTCTACTTAGAAGGTTGGCAGTACAGATTGGCATGTTTCCTTTCAGTCATTTTCATCAAATATGCACTTTTGTACTCATTTATAATCAGAGTATTCTTGCAGTTCTATAACTTGTGAAAAGCTTTTTGGAATTTTTAACCTAATACAAGATGAAGCTTAAAAGAATTCAGAACAGGGCCCTCCCTGGTGGCGCAGCGGGTTAAAGCACTGCACTGAGAAGCTAAAGCCACTTCCGCATGAGTTCGATTCCCTCCTGCCCTGGAGGTGACCACATGGTGTGGCAGACCTCTCCTGGCCCACCCGCTGCTCCCCTCAGCAGTGTGCTTCGTCGATCTGCCTGTTCTGCTCCCCACTCTGTCTCTGGTGAATCCTCTCACCCTCCACATCTCTGGCCTGTACCCCAGTTCTGTATAAATAAATATTTAAAAAAAAAAAAAAAAACTTTTTGAAAAAAAAAAAAAAGAATTCAGAACATGATGAAAGGACTTTTTTTCAGAAAAAGCTGAAATTTCTTTTCTGTATCTACATACAGAAATTTTTGCTTTCCTGTTCACTAAATAGCATAAACTATTTAGTAAACTTAAGATTCTTCTCCATTTCAAGTCTGACTTATTTCAGCTAGTTTCTAGTAGTAAAAGAACTTAAAGCTTTTTTTAAAATCCCACTTGCAGGGAAAGAGTAGAATATAAAAGCTTCTACTCCCAGAATTAACTTTTCTGTATTAGGTGTATTAGTCTTTCAGACATTTTAAGCAGCCGATACATAGCATTCAGCTTAACCACAGGGCCCTATTGGTCATTTACACTGTTGCCTGAACTCTGTGTTTACCTATCTTTACAAAGTATTAGTTACTTTTTTAATTTTCTCATGAATTTTGGGGTTTTGGTGTCTAGTCTTTGTTTTCTCTTGTATGAGTACCTACAAAAATACCTATTTTGCCTCTTGGCCTGTAAAACTTTAAAATATTTACAGTCTGATTCTTTAGCAAACAAGATTTCCAATACTTGATCTATATCCATTAAACTGCCACTGTTTCCTTTGTGACACTTAACACCTTACAGATCTTTTTCACTTGATTGTCTTTCCTTAAATTACCAGTTATTCTCTTGAATATAAGCAAACTCCCTGAAACTTTGTATTTTACTGCATCTTTGACACGTGGAACACTGTTCACATACAGTAAATAACTCCCATAGATATTTGTTGAGTGATTAACAATTCAAAGTGGAATTAAAAGGCAGTTTTTCATTATTATAGAACATCTTCCTAAATACTTGAAAAAAATTCTGATTTCTGTTAGGGTGAAAACATGTCCTCAAGCAAGTCCTTATTTTTATTCATGTAAGATTATGATTCACACTTTAGAAATTGTAACTTTGGGTGTAGACCAGATATCTAATATTACTTTTTAAAAAATTAATTTAGCTCTTATATAAGGGTTTTATTAATGAAATGTGGACATGTAATTTATGTGCTGTAAATCTGACACAACTTTACAGAATTTTTTGTATGCCTTCCAGCTTCATGCTTAAAGTTGGTGATGATTTAGATTGTTTTTCATTCTTGATCTTGCTTTCTTCTGGCCCCATATTTACCATACATGTAATTAATATCTGATTGTCCTATCTTTGACATGTACGATGTTCTCCCATTAAAAGCATATTTGTGAATAATATATCTGTGGCAATTCTAAAATACAAAAGGTATTTTATATTTTACACTGATTTCAGTACAGAGAAGCATATTCGTATAATATCTCTCAAATGTTTTTTCCAAGTTATCACTTATAATCATGACAGATTCGTCAAGGTTTGGTTTATGGGGTGTTTTAAGATAATCCCATTTACAGATTTCTTTTAGAGGTGCTTATTTATAATGTCTGAATCTCTTTTATGTGACTATATAAATGCTCTTTGCATAAGAAACAAATGGCTTTAACAGAGTATGACTTTTTACATTGGTTTACAAAAGATACTTAGCTCTGTGTTACTTCACAAAGATGTTATGTTGAAAACAGTAAAAGGGAGCATGGAATGTGTGCAAATTGTCAATCTTTGTGAATAAATATTTGAAAAATTAATAAACTGATCAAAACATCTCCCCATTCTCTCACGGTCAGCTAGCCCTGCTGTCTGAAGCTCGGCCCCCCAGGATATAGTTAACTGATCCAATTATGGGGTTGTGGACAACTGAGGCCTGTTTTATTGAAGATTGCAGGAAAATTATAAGTTATATAGTATGTTGTTTGACCAGTTTTATAGAGCTTAAAGAGATAATAAACCCTTTGTCTAGTATCTTTCTCTTTGCAAACTGAAACTTTGATTTGCTTACAATCATTCTCTAGTCTAGGATAGAAAACATCCTTCATTTTGGTGGATAATAAAACAATCTGACCTTGAAGGGTTAGAAACGTAATGATGTCAGCAGCACCCTAAGAATTTACATCAAAATATACATCAAGGAAAAGCAGTTTGGTATATACTACAAACAAATGGGATCTGAATAGATGAAGCTTCTGCTTTCAGCTTGCTAGTAGATCCAGAATAATCACTGGCAAAGACTGAAATATATTCAGTTGGATCTTTTCAGTGTTGGGAGCTACTGTCTTTTGTTTCTTTAGCCTATAATTTTAGACATCATTTCCTGCTGCATTTATTTCATCACTCCCTTCTTTCCTTAGCCAGATTGTTCTTTCAGATGATTTTGAGACAAATCTGTAGTTTTTCTCTAGAAATTAAATATATGGAATGCTAAGAAGATAATACTAGACAACCAATATTTGATTTGTTGCCACCTCCAGTTACCCTCACTGTAGTTATCCAAAATAATCCACAATTAATTCATTTTCCCTAATTTAAAGACATTTTTAACAATAGTTTATCATATGTGAAAATAAAACATTTATTCATGCTGTTGATCACTTTTCATTTATATTTATTATATTACAGTTTAGTCCATCATCATCTTGTTGAGCATTTTCTTAAGATTTTTAGCCGCAACCATATAAGAAAAATAGGAATAGAGGTGAGGGTCCTTCCTGGTTACTTAGGGATTGAGTCTTGGTTCTATGACCTGAATTCAACCCCTCGCCAGGGAGCGAACACCCGTTGCTCCCCTTAGCAGTGTGTTTCAGTAAATCTGCCTGTTCTGCTCTCCTCTCTGTCTCTGTTGAATCCTCTCACTCTCTATACTCTGACCTACAGCCCAATTCTTCTATGCTAAAGAAACAAAAATAATTTTTTTTAAAGAATGGGGGTAAATTAACATTTTTTTACATGTCTGTATCATAAGAACTTTGATTTTGAAGTGAAACTTACAATAGCAGAAATTACAAAGGCAAATATTAAGATTTAACCACGTGAGTATTTACATTTTCCTGTTATAAGCAAATAGAATGTAAAAATTGACACACATTTACTGTGTATAGTAGACTAAGTATTGATACATGGTGTAATTCAGTGTGAAGAATGTCTAAAGAGGGATACTAATAACTCACTAAACCATTGAATCTCTCTAGTAACCAGTGACATATTCTGGGAGGAAAGAAAAGCAACACTTTCAAAATAGATAAAATCCTTTATTTAATAAAGTTTTGATAAGAATATGATTCAAATTGCTGTCTTAACACCCTAGGATTTTTTAATCCTTTGTCTCCACTAAGAATAGAATGTGTAACAGTGTAGAAGAATATTATAACATCACAATGATATAATAAATGAGAAATTAATATAGTAAGAAGAAAATTGTGACTTCCATATATATAACCTTAATTTTTATCATTTTCTTAGTATTTTTCTATGAAAACATGTTAGTATTTTGTCATCTGGAAAGATTCATTAACTAATGTAAATGATTTCTGTAACCTAAAATAGAAATGTGTATTTTTCTGTATAGAAGAATCATGTCCAAAATTGCTTTTTGAAGAGTGTAAAAGTTACTTCAAATAACAAGGCATTTTTTTATTTACATAGATATTCCTGATCAAGTTATAAGAGTTTTCAAAGCAGATCAACAGAGTTGCTACATTATCATCAGTAAAGACACCACAGCTAAAGAAGTTGTCTGTCATGCTGTTCATGAATTTGGTTTGACTGGTGCCTCTGAAACATATTCTCTCTGTGAAGTTTCTGTTACTCCTGAGGGTGTCATAAAGCAAAGAAGACTTCCAGATCAGTTCTCCAAATTAGCTGATAGAATTCAGCTCAATGGAAGGTGAATGTGCCTATCAGTGAATGTTTTCATTTTAGATGTAATTTTGAAGAATGTGTTTTGTTTTGTTTTGTTTTTAAAAGATTTATTTATTTGTGCATACAGAATGGGGTATAGGCCAGAGGCTCAGGGGCGGCAAGAGGCTTCACCAGAGACAGAGTGGGGAGCAGAACAGGCAGATTGACGAAGTATACTGCTGAGGGGAGCAGCGGGCGGGTCAGGAGAGGTCTGCCACGCCATGTGGTCACCTCCGGGGCAGGCGGGAGTCGAACTCATGCGGAAGCGGCTTTAGATTCTCAGTGCTGTGCTTTAACCCGATGCGCCACCAGGGAGAGCCTGAAGAATGTGTTTTTTAAAGGATTTTTAAAAATGTATTCACTCATACAGAATTGGGGTACAAGCCAGAGGTGCAGGGGTGGTGAGAGGATTCACCAGAGACAGAGTGGGGAGCAGAACAGGCAGATTGACAAAGTACACCACTGAGGGAAGCAGTGGGTGGGTCATGAGAGGTCTGCCACGCCATGTGGGTCACCTCTGAGGCAGGGATCAAACTCACACTGAAGCGGCTGCAGCCAGCTTGCAGAGTTGCCTCCCAACCCATTGTGCCACCAGGGAGAGCTCGAAGAGTGCATTTTTAAAAATATTTTCTGTAGAAACATGATTTAGATTCACTGAGTTCTCTATAAAACTAAAATAGGATTTCTCTACCCAGTTTTTCTTGTTTTATAATTATATACTGGAAATCTTGGAGCATAACAATTCCTAAATACTACCAGAAAGTTGGAGAATGCAAGGGAAATCAGGTTGCTAAAAAAGTTTACCACTTGGAGCCTTTGACAAAATCTAAATTCTGATCATGCACATTCCTCATTTGACATAAAAATAAATTATATGTACCTGTTTGTATCTAGGTATGTATGTATTGGTTTTTAATATGAACTTAAGCAGGAGCAGCCATCATTTTCACAATTATTTTTCTAATTTTCCTCTTATATGAACATGTAGGAAATTTTTTAAAAATTTAAAATATGCTCTGAAAATTATTAGTTCAACTAGAAGATAGCTTCAGGAGTATGTTTATGCTTTACTCTGGTGACTTTTTCTAAGGATATTTTTTAATTAAGTCTAGATTTACGTATAGAATGAGATTCCTGGATTAGAAACCTTAAAATGACTTGTGGATACTATTAAGACAGAGAGGATTAAGTCTTTTGTTGGCAATCTATAGTGTTAGAGGCAGACTGCCCAGATTCAAATCCCAGCTCTCTGTGTGATTTGGGCTAAATTAGTTTTTCTGTGCTAAAGTGTGCCCATCAATAAAATAAAGATGTAATAATGGTAGAACCACATAGGAATGTTAAAAGAATTAATAAACATATAATATGTTCTGTATACATACTGTGATTTTATTATCTATGATATCTATATTATATAATTTTCTATAAGTAGTCTTAACCCTATGATATTCTCATAGACATGTGAACAGTCTACAGGTAGAACGAAAAGAGGTTTTGTTCCTTGACAATAAAAAATAATAGACACAAATTTGGGCTTAGGTAAAACTTCTATGTTAGAAAAAATGGAGGAAATGCTACAGGTGATATGTATGGTACCTCTTTCCTATCAGCAAGTCTGTATAAGGTATTTTACTTATGAATATTTAACCTGTCTCTCGGATTTTAAGTGCCATGGAATTGCTGATTGAAAAAGAAAAAGAAAAATTATGTTTTGTATTTAAGAAGAGAATAATTAGTGAAAGAGTTCCCCTCTTTCACACGTTTTATTTTTGCCTCTTAGAAATTTAGAAATAAAGAAGGAAATGAGTATAGGAAGAACTTCCGAGTAGATTGTTTATTGATGCTATCCATTAACATATCTATCTAGATCTTACTTTTTCTTTTCTGTGAAAGTGCATAGAGCTTTTATTCTCATGAATATGCCTAGTTGCTTACACTTGTAAGCAATTACAAAACATTACTTTTGTCATTTAAAATAATAATGAAAATTTCAGAACAGCTTCTGTAAAGTCTCATCATTTTATTGCCTTTGTGAATATGATGTTTCTGCTAAAGTTTTGGCAGTAAGGTATTAAGAATAAACTGATATTTTGATAATAATTGTAAAGTGGGAAAGTGCACTTATAAATTTGAAACTGTTTATAAAAAAATTTTTTCTCTTTTAGATATTATTTAAAAAATAACATGGAAACAGAAACCTTGTGTTCAGATGAAGATGCTCAAGAATTGGTAAAGGAAAGCCAGCTATCCATGCTGCAACTCAGTACCATTGAGGTGGCCACTCAGCTGTCAATGAGGGACTTTGATTTGTTCCGTAACATTGAGCCAACAGAATACATTGATGACCTTTTTAAGTTAGATTCCAAAACAGGAAATACTCACTTGAAAGAGTTTGAGGACATTGTAAACCAAGAGACATTCTGGGTTGCCTCAGAGATTTTAACTGAATCGAATCAGCTCAAACGAATGAAAATCATTAAGCATTTCATTAAAATTGCACTTCATTGTCGAGAATGTAAGAACTTCAACTCCATGTTTGCAATAATAAGGTAAGTTTGTATAACTATTTGTGTATAGTTTAAGATATTAGACATGAAAACGATTTTTTGCTTATCTAATAAATGGCTAGTAAAGGTAAAATTCAGTTAATGTTCTTATTAAAGTATTGCTACATTAAATGTATTTTCTGTTCTGGTAAAACTGATTTCTTACATTGTTGTTTCTTTCATTTTTCTGTCAAATATTTTTAGTGAATGTGGGTGACGCACCCCATCCCCCACCCCGATATTTCTTTTCTAGCTCTTTAAGGATTTGTACCCTCTTTAGGTTCGTGCTAGACAACTATTCTTTATTATCAAACAGGTATAGTGTGCATCTTTCAATATCTGCCTCAGATATTGGAGTACTGGATTTCCCTGAAATATCAATGTGATATTTAACTGCTCTAACTTAAATTGCTATTTTAAAACAAGAGACAATCTGTAGATAAATAAATGGAAAAATATATTCTTATTTTTGTGTATATGTACACACACACATTGAAATACTACATAGTTATTAAAAATTGAAGAAATTTAGCCGTTTGCTACAACATAACATAGGTCTTGAGAGTTTTACACTAAGTGAAATTAGGCAGCTGAAGAAAGATAGCATGATTTCATTCACATGTGGAATACAATGAAACAAAGCAAATGAATAAAAAGGATTCTTCTTTAAAGCAAGTTTGTTTTCAAAGCTGGAAGCCACTTATAGTTTGGTCCATTTATAAGGCTGTATACTTATTTATAACAACATAATTCCACTTTAACCAATTCCATCTACACATACTTCCCATGGAATTTCATTTTGATATGTGCCTTTTATCCAGTTTGAGGTAAAATTTGAATTTTGAAAGGGATGTTTTAATCATAATCTGTCAATCTAGTAGGGAGTCCCTTTATGACATAACCAGTGGTTACAATTGGTCTAGATAATTCTACAAGAAGTATTCAGTACAGATTTCAGAGCAAAGTAGTCACCTGTACCTGCTCTTAGAACTCAACAAGGAAAAATAAACAATCTAATTTTAAAATAAATCACTATAGACAATGCTCTAAAGAAAGATGTAAAGATACTCGTCACAAAAGATTAAGGAAATACAAATGAAATCTATAAAGGGAGCCTTATATACTTATTGCATGTGGAAATGTATATTGGTGCAACCACTATGGAAAACATTGTGAAGATTTCTGGAAAATCTTAGAAATATCATGTGATCTAGGTATTCCCCATCTAGGTATTTATTAAAATAGCACGAGAACACTGGTTTGTTTTTTTTAAATACATTCCTTAGTTCATTGAAGTATTTACAAGAGACAGTCTGTAGATAAATAAATGGAAAAATACGTTCTGATTTTTATGTATATGTACACACACACATTGAAATACTATATAGCTATTAAAAATTGAAGAAATTTAGCCGTTTGCTACAACATAACATAGGTCTTGAGAGTTTTACACTAAGTGAAATTAGGCAGATGAAGAAAGATAGCATGGTTTCATTCACATGTGGAATACAGTGAAACAAAGCAAATGAATAAAAAGAATTCTAAGCTACAGAGCAGATGGATGGTTATCACAGGGGAAATGGGTTTTGGAGTGGTCAAAATGGTTATAGAGGGCCTATTGTATAATAATAGAAATTAGACTTTAAACAGTAATCATGATGTAGTGGATACAGGTATCAAATTATAGTGATTTACACCTGAAATTTATGTACTGTTAACGATTATTACAAAAAATACTCATTTTAAAAAATGAACCATCCTTTTCATTCATTGACAGCTTTAGGACTGTCATTCCTTTTTATTGTCTCACAGTATACTTTCCCTGATACTCTTGTGATAAAGAACAAAGAGCAGCCCCTGTATAATTTTGTCAGCACTATGCACTCTTTTGTGTTGTTCCACATAGAGTATTATAGTTTTTTTGTTCAGGTGAGTTACCAAGTTGGGAGAACTTTGCTTTTACCAGTTTTCATTGAAATCTTCAACTACACGCTTATTATTTCAGCATCTTTGCATACTGCTGTTTAACCCTGACTATTTTTTGAGTTACAGATATTTCTAGGTGTCGGTGGAGATGAAATTTGTGTGTCTATTATCCATTCCGGTAGTAGTTCAGGGTTATTAATGAGAAAGAGGAAACAGATCTAAATTCCACATGTTAAAATCGGAAGTTAAGACAGCATTTTAAATACAGTAGTATGGGTAAAAAGTGACTAAGAATCAGAAAAATTAACTGGTAAGGAAATTGAGGTACTACCTAAGCATTTCTTACTTGACAGTCTCCCTATGGTATGGTAGTATTGAGGTAAGGCGATGGAAGGAGTTGAAGCCTAATTTGCATGTGTCACTTTTCAGGTTTGGGCTAGTTGAGCTTTTTAAAAAACCTCTTAAAAGGAGACCTGACTACCTGGAATTCTGTCTTGGGGGACAGGATTAGAACCTAGGAGTAAGGAAGTTTTAGAGTATTTGTAAATGTCAGAGAAAAGCTAACCTCAGTCCCAGAACTTACCTCATTAACAATATTATGCACTACAAATAAATAATATCTACATAAACTTATTTCTAAGTAAAATAAACAAAGCATGTGATACTTGAAGGGTGTTTTTATTTAAATGTTTCTTTTTATGAGACTATTTGATTTTTACATGCGAACTTTAAAACAAAGTAAGTATAAGCCTATAGGCAGGTACTAGAGTTTTGAAAGTAGTTTTCCATTTGTTAAAGATCAAGTTCCATTCATTTATTTTTGTGGTTGAGATATCTCACACATACAAAAAAGTGCCCTTAAGTAACACTTTTTGAAATATGCCTCTGGTTATTTTGCCCTTTAGAGAAAATTGGTGTATGTTCTTTACTGATCTTAACCCTCCCTCTTTGACAAGTCCCTTTTTAAATGTTTTATTCTAATCTTTGGCAGTGGTTTGAACCTGGCATCTGTAGCACGACTCAGAGGAACTTGGGAGAAGTTGCCAAGCAAATATGAGAAACACCTCCAAGACCTGCAAGACCTTTTTGATCCATCTAGAAACATGGCAAAATATAGAAATATTCTTAGTAGTCAAAGCATGCAACCTCCAATTATTCCACTCTTCCCTGTTGTCAAGAAAGATATGACATTCCTACATGAAGGTATTTAAAAGTTATTTGAAAACTAGCATATGTGGCTTCATCCAATTCTACAGAATTGTGATTTATTACATTTGTTTTCCAGTATGATTTGTATCACTAAATTTTTCCGAGTTAAATGCACCTGTTTACTGAAATCCAAAACCCACACTTTTTTAAAAAAACAAATCTGTGCTCACCCTGTATATTCAAATATAAACTTGACCTACACCAAGATTATACTGTTTCATCATATTTGTTTAATAGTGTTTCCAACTTTTGAAAAAATGAAATGTCCAATACAAACAGAAAAGTGTTCCTAGGTAAACAACATAAGAATTATGACCAAGGGATTATCCATCTAACCAACATCCTGTCAAAAAATAACAGCTTCTTCCCAGAAGCCCCCATTCACACCCTTCCTATTTACCACTGTTTTCTTCTTCGCCCACAGGTAACTCCTCTCCTAACTTCTAATACTGTGGCTTAGTTTTGTCTGTCCTTGAACTTTGAAAGACAAATAGAATAAGTGTATGTTTCTTTTGTTATGGCTTTTTGTGGTTTCTGACTTATTTTAGTCAACATTAGGTTAGTGAAATTCTTCCATATTTTTTAAGGTAGCTGTACTTAATTTTAGATGAATTCATCTATTTTGTTCATGAGCATTTTTTAGTTTTCACTTTTCACTTGGTGTGAATAATCCTGCTATGTATATTCTTGCTCAGAATTCTTAGTACACATGTACAGTTTTTGTTCAGGGTAGAATATTCTTAATCCACTTTAGAAAAGTTCTGTATTATTTGTTAACATGGAACATTAGAGTTCTTATTGTTCTACGTCCTCACAGATACCTGGTAAATTCCTTATTATTATTACCCATTCTAGTAGGTGTGTGATTGTTGGTGTAGTTTAATTTGCATTTTGCTGATGACTTACAACCTCTGTCCTGTTCAGTCAGTTATCAGGTAGGTATTTTGCCTATTTTTATATTATGTTGCTCTCTCATTTAATGGTATTTGATACTTTTTTTTTTTTAAAATCTAGATACAGTATGGCCTTCCTTGACTTTTCCAAGGTTATGTTTGGGTAAACAGCAAATTACTTATTTTAAAAGCCTTATTCATCTCTTACATAAGGTTAATCTACAGTCTCCCTGTGTTAACTTGTTCACTATACACAATTCTAACCATTAGGTGTTATATAATATTTACATTTATTGATACTAATTAGTTTCACATTCATTAGTAATTCCTCTACACGTTAGGCAGTGTAGGGCACTCAGACTACTTATGTTCCATTTAGTCCCTCCTGATTCATATGCACTTGTTTTGCCATGGTATCACTGTATCTTAAAATCAGAATTTATTTAGTTTTACCTGTGGGTGGTTGCTTCATTTTTATTCCTTCATTTCAGAGCTGTCATATGATTGGGTTTTTATTCCCTTCTAGTTGGTAGTTAGCTGCTATTGATGAAATCTTAGTTTTTGTTAATCTGAAAAGTCTTTATTTCAGTCTTATTTTTCTTATTTAGATTTATTTTATTTATATATGTGTACAAGAGCTGGGGAGGGGGGTGTAGGCCAGAGGTACAGGGGGGATGAGAGGATTCACCAGAGACAGAGTGTGGAACAGAACAGGCAAGTGTACTGAAATACACTGCTAAGGGGAGCAGCAGGCTGGTCAGGAGACGTCTGCCATGCCATATGGGTCAGCTCCCTGGCTGGGATTGAACTTGTGCTGCAGTTGCTGCCAATAGCTTCAAAGTGCTGAGACTTAACCTCTTGCACCACTAAGGACGCCATATTTCATAGTAATTTTTAAGGCAAAATTTTGGTTGACTGTGAGCTTCAACATTGTAACATGACATTCTAATGTTTCCTGCTTTCCATTGAGGAGGCATTCCTTTTTTCTTTTTGGGCAGCTTTTGTTCTTATTGCTGTTTCTTTGACTATAACCTGCCTTTTTTTCTGTGGCTACTATTATTTTCTCATTTTTTCTATGTGACCAGTGTGGCATTTTGTTTTTGTTTTTTTTGTTTTTGTTTTTTAAAGATTTATTTATTCGTACAGAACTGGGGTACAGGCCAGAGATGCGGAGGGTGAGAGGATTCACCAGAGACAGAGCGGGAAGCAGAACAGTCAGATCCACGAAGTACACTGCTGAGGGGAGTAGCGGGTGGGTCAGGAGAGGTCTGCCTCACCATGTGGTAGCCTCGGGGCAGGCGGAATCGAACTCATGCGGAAGTGCTTTGGTTTCCCTGTGCAGTGCTTTAACCCGCTGCGCCACCAGGGAGGGCCTTGTTTTTGTTTTAATTCTGATTTGTTTATAGAAAATCTTGGCTCCTGCATTTTGTAATTTTTATCAATTTTGGAATATTCTCTTTCGTGTGCCTTATGGTTTTTTTTGTTTGTTTGTTTGTTTGTTTGTTTGTTTGTTTTGGTCGTCTCCTCTTCTTACCTTTCCTTAAGGGATTTTGATTTTACCTCTGAACACTATACCCCGATAGTCGAATGCTCTCTTTTTTTTTTTTGTATTCTTCATCTTTTTGTCTTAACATGCTTTATTCTTGGTATTTTCTTCCAATCTGCTATCCAGGTTAATTCTTTTTTGCTGTTAAATGCATCAGTGATTCCCAATTCCTGTTACTGTATTTTCCAATTTTATCATTCGTTTTTTAATCTCTGCATCCTCTTCCAAAGTGTCCTCAGTGTTGCTTTTTTACAGATTTGGACATATTCAATAATTATTTTAAAGCTTGTCTCTAGTAATTGCGCGATCTGAGTTCTTAGTGGTTCCAATTATGTTGTCTTGATTTGTCTCTTGCACTTCATTTATGTTTTCATTTCACCTGATGTGCCTGGTTAATTTTGATCAAATGGATGTTGTGTTGTATAAAATTTTACAGAAATACCTAAAGTTTCAGGTGATATCCCATTCCTCCCGATATATTTAAAGGTTATTTCTGCTATACACCTTAGGAGTTCTTGCAAACCATCCCCCACCCCCCCCCCATCATTAAGGTAACACTGAACTTTTACCTTTGTTCCAGGATATAGGCTTTCAGAATATCAGTCTAAAGTATTGGAAGTTTAATTGGACTTACTCTCTAACTTTAAAAACCTTGGTGGCACTCTTTGATTTTTCAGCTCATCATTCCCCTTCCCAGAAATCAGCAGTTGTCCCTAAAGCCAAGCAATAGGAAATGCCAAATGTTACTCAGATCTTTGTTCTTTTCTAGAATTTTTCACCGTCTTGTTTTTTGATGAATACTTCAACATTTTTTTGTGTGTAATTTTAATTGTTCTTGTCAGGAGTTACTGTTATTTTCTTACTGCTGCCTTTCACATTGCCAGTTATATGTAAGGAAATATTACAGATTCAAAAATGTACTTTTCTGACATGTTACTTCAAAATGTGTTTGTGACTTGCAAGTACTTCTGGTGATCATTTTGCTTCATACTCAGATTAAGTCCCTGAACAGTTCATATATTCAGAGTACAGATGCCATATACTATGAGGGAAACCACCTTGTGCTTCAGACCCATATGACTCTTAAAATAATACATTCAAGAGTATATAAAACGTACTTTTAAAAAAAATGTACTCTTGGTTTCAGGGATTTGGCATTCCACAAAGTCAACTTACGGGCTACAATGGGAAATAGATGTGTTCACACAAACTATTGAGAAAGACAGTTGTTAAAGAAGAAAATGGTATTGTGGATATTTGGATTGCAGTTTTAACATGTAATTGTTTTTGCCTGGTGGTTTGGAAGAGTTGTATTGAATTTTTTTTCTCTGAGAAATGTAGATTTTTTTCCCCACATAACAAAAGCAAAAATTATGAAGCTTTGAACAAGCATATGTTAGTGATTAAAGACATAATAACTATTAATAATTATTACTTAGTCCTTTACCCAAGTCCTCCCCGTTTCTCTTCACAAGAAACCAGAAATTCTTGTTTTCATGAGATACCTTCCATCTCACTTGACCATATTTTTTTATGTATTATAAACCAAAGAAAACTTAACTGGGTTAATTAATTAGCTCAGAGATCATCCTTTGTGACCAAATAACAAAACCCCAGTTTTTGAAGTACTATATTCCCTGTTCCCCAAAAGAGTATATGCAGACACCTGCCTGAGAGGAACCCGGCATCTAGGTAGTTAGGTTTGAGGAGCTGTGCCTTTTATAGCTGTACTTAATAGTAAAATTGGTTTTATAGTTTTTCACTTTTTTTTCTGTTTTACATCATTGTTCCTTTTTATTTTCTCTCTTTTTTTAAAATAATGTTTGCTTTCTTTTCTCAGGTGTAGTCCCCATTGAATTTCCACCACCCATTCACCCATGCACCATCGCCATAGGAAGTTAAGCTCTTCCTGCCCTTGCCTTTGCCTTTTTTCTTTTTTTTTTTTTTTTGTTGTGGTTTTTATTGTTATTTTTTTCTCTTGGTCCCTCATTTGGTTCCCTTGTATTCCTCCTATAAGTGAAACCATCCAATATTTTTTTTTCTCCTTCTGATTCATTTCATTGAGCATGATCCTTTCTAGCTCCATCCATGTTGCCGCATATGGCATTTTTTTGATTGCTGAATATTACTCCATTGTGTGTGTGTGTGTGTATACATACATACATACGCACACATACATATATACACCACATCTTCTTGATCCAGTCATTTATTTTTGGACATTTGGTTTGTTTCCACATCTTACTCATTATACATAATGCTGCAATAAGCATGGGGATGCAGTTATTCTGTTTCTCCCTTTGTTACATTATTCATTATTACCCCTGTGTGAGTAGAATTCCTTCAGGTAGTTCTTTCCCTAGGATCAATGTTGAGCCATCTATGAGTTTATCAGTTCACAATTTGATTTATCAGTGACAGTTTGATTAAAGAAGGTCTGATAAGCCTCCCAAAAATAACTTGGGAAATTTTTAAATTACTTTTATTCTGTAGGAAATGACTCCAAAGTAGATGGTTTAGTAAATTTTGAGAAGTTACGAATGATTGCCAAGGAAATCCGCCAAGTTGTTCGAATGACTTCTGCTAACATGGATCCAGCTATGATGTTCCGCCAGAGGTATGGCAGTGAAGTGTGCAAAAGTGTTAAGAGTGGCATTGAGGGTGATATGATTATTTTATCATTTACTAACCATCCTATTTGTTAATCACTTTTCTAAGTATTCTACACATGTCAATCTCAAGAAATTGTTTACTACAATAAACCTTAAAGGTATATAGGATTGTCCTTCCCTCCTACTTGTGAAGAAACTGAAGCTCAGAGCAATTACAGTGTGTTCCTAGGATTACACAGTGTCCTTAGATTTGAAGCCCCCCCCTTTTTTTTAGTGCATAGATGATTATATAATGTTACTTAAAATATCAGCTAACTTAAGCAAAAAATTCTTACTCCATTTTCGCAGAGGACAAATGTTCTTATTTGGTTTCTGATTTAAAGTTTGAGTTTGTTTTTGCTGACTATTTTCAAAGTTGTATTTCTCTGTACTTCATATCTCATTATCTAAATTATTACTTTTTCTCAAGTCACAGTACTGCTGCATGTGTTTTAACAGATTTTAGAAAGCACAAACTTAATCATGTTACTTTAACAGAAATAGCAATATTGTGTCCTCTATTAACCTGACCTTCTAAGAATACTTTTTAAACTTTATTATCACTACAAGACTTTCTCAGTAATATAAAGGTTTTAAAAATATGCTGTCCAAAATAAATAAAGCAAAGAGAGAGAGAGAGAGAGAGAGAGAGAGAGAGAGAGATGCTGTCAGTCTGTTCCAATCATTTTTATAATTTTCAGGGTAAATAAATGTTAAGTTTTTAAATTGTTAGTCTTAGTTTCCTCTGTGCCTTTGTTTTTATTTGTTTTTTTAAATCATTGTCAGTAGTCTTTGTTTATGTAAATAGGTGGCATGATGGTTGCTTTATTTTAATAGGAAGGAACCAGTCATGTTGCTTCCTTCTTGCCCCATCCCAGTTCTGTCCCTGAGAATCACTGCATGTGGTGAGAGATGTCATTGATCAACATGTAGAAGCAGAAAACATAAAGAACTGGGAACCATAGCACATCAGTGAAGGATTGATTTGTTTAGTTTTTGTTATTGTTTCATGTCCTTGTATAGTGGCCTCACCATTCCTTCCTTGTCTTTTTATATCAGTTACCATTTGTTTGGTATATTGCCACTCTGGTTCCTGAGATACAATGAATTTGTAGTCCTGCCATACCAAAGCACCAACAATGCTTCCAGAATGAGTAAAGGAGGAAAATACTGATGAGGAAATTAATAAATTTGACTTATTGGGAATACCTTGTTTGAGTAAAATTATACAGAGGAAATGAAAACATTTCTAACTAGATTGAACTGAAACTTGCCTGGATCAGTTTTGTTTTTCCATTTATACTGAAATGTACTATCCATTTGGGTGACAATATTCTTGAGTACTCTTTTGAGTATAAAAAAAGGAGTAACTCTTTTTATTTGTACAGTAATCAGCTTGCTGACTACAAAACAAAAGCATGGACCTCCTACCACTAGAGCCCAGTGGGCCCAGGAGGCCAGCCAGGGTATGGGGGAGAGGTTTGTCAAAAGTCAAGGAGTGTAATTTTAAACCGAATTTTTTTACTCAGTCCAATTAGAGTATAGGGATATGCATATTATAATTTTTTTTATGATTTATTTTTACTTTTAAGTTAGGTTTGCTGATCAAATTATCTTGTAAAATACATTATCAGAAATTTCTGCACTAAAAAATGAAATTATAAATCCTTAAACTCCTTATAGTTTGATCCTGTCACATAAAAGAGTGGCTTAAAAATCTTTTCAAGTAATCCTCAAAAGTTGTTTCTTTAAGGTTTCCTTCTCTTTTTAACAACTGAATTTAGAGTTAAATAGATTACTTAAGATTTCTTAACAGAAATCCATAGATGAATTAGTTGCTAAAAATGTAAAACTATACTGTATTTTAAAAAATAGTATGAGATTTTTTTACTTTTAATACATATCATAACTCATTTTATCCCCTTGCATTCCATTAAAATCATTTTAATGTTAAGCACCAATTTTTTTATGTAAAAGTTTTCTGTTCTATTCTGTCTCCATAATTTCTCTGACTCTCAACTGTTGTCTTTTTTTCTGTGCTTTTCTATTCAAATACATGCTTCAATGTTTGTGGCTCTTGCTTACAGGAAGAAGAGGTGGCGGAGTCTGGGGTAAGTGTAGAGATGAATGCAACTGAAATGAAGGTTGTGCAACTCTTAACATAAACTGCATCCTTTTCATTAATGCACGCACATAAGATAGCATGTGTTCTATTAACCCTGTCAACCTACATTCTTGACAATGCCTTTTGCTAACAAGGTGAAAGTAGTGACAGTACTAGGTTTCCCCCACATTTACTTTTCCAATATTGGTGTCCTGTAAATTCCTTTTAGATTTTAATTCAGCAAGGTCAGTTAAATGATGATAACAAATATTTTTGTGCACTTGCCATGTGCTGTGCACTGTTTTAAGTTCCTTATAAATTGTCTGATTCCCCAAGCACTCCCATGAGATACTGTTATTACTGTGGACCACAAGGGGAAGATGGAGTTGCCCAAATTCTGATTGCTCACTAATGATGGATGCAGACATAGGTAGATTTGTGTATGTAAAAATGGATAAAAGATTTCTTTATAAGTGAGTTGAACCTTCCATCAGTTTTCCTACAAGTAATAGCCTTTACCCAAACAATACTGTGTAACCAAGTTAGTAAATAATTGAAAGAGATGATCTTAATTCCTCAGAGCTACTAATACAATATTGGTTGAATTTTATTTTAAATTTCTAACATTTTAAATTCAAGACTCCCTTATCTCTTTTAGAACTGTAGTAGAACCAGAAACTGCCATCTGTGTTATTTATGTTCAGACCTCTGCTTATATATAACCAGATAATTGTTTAGAAGCATGCAGTGTTTAGGATCTTACAAATCACCTGTGTCGTCCTTTCATAGTTAGATTGAGATAGTTTTATAAATGAAGGGACTGTATAAAAAGAACTTTATTTTAGTACTAGTGAATCATGCAGTTAGATGTGCTTATTATATGCAGGATTTCTTGTGAGCCACTTACATTAACAAGTTTTACTTGTGGTCTTGTTGTTTTGTTGAAACTTGGTGACCTTGAATTTCCTTCTTTTTCTTCCACCCTTGTCTATGTGTTTCTTGTGTGTTTATTTCTGTATTATACATTTATGTCTTAGTCTGTTTTCCGGTGGTTCTCACTGAGAATAAAAATTGACTCCTGGCATTACAATTATGCAAAAATAGTACTTTCAGAATATATCTTGATGGTAATTGGAGATGTTTGAATGACTTTTTAAACACATTGTATATTCAGCACTAGGGTTGCTTTGTAAGTTACTTAGAGATTGATCATTTTTATATTAGACTGTTTTCTGTTTTGGAAGTAGCTTAGAAATCTTGTCATCATTTATCACAATGCTCATATCAATTAAATCCAATTATCTAATAATTTGATGAAATTAAATCTAATATTCTAAAATTATTAGAATTTTGTTCTTATCTTTGATTTGTGAGCATCTCTTTTATATCAACTAAGATATAATGCATATTTATATTAAAATTTGTTCCTAAGTGTTGGGATGACTTTACTGCATATTGATTCTTACACAGCATTAATTGTTGAACACATTGTTATTTTACCACTAAGAAAAACCACTACAGTGCATTTTTATCTTTGAGAATTTTACGTAGTGTTTACTGAAAGAACTCTTATTTAATGATTAGGTATAACACATGTAACAGCTGTATTCACAGTAAGTACAAAATTTGATTTAGGTGTTTGTAAAATTCTTCATGTTGAGAATATAAGGGTTCACACATAAAGACGCGCGCGCGCGCGCACACACACACACACACACACACAATTGCTTTTGTTCCATCAAGTATATTGGTAATGCAGCTTTTCTTAAAATAAGCCATCGATAGGAAGAGTAAAAATTGCTGCTACTAGGTTCTTAGATTGATTTTGCAAAAATTTAAACCTGGCTTCCTTTTGATATCCTTTGGGAATGTAGCTCTTTGAGACTACAGTTTTTCCTTGTGATCATTTTGGCTCCTGGAAATTAAGAGAGTAACTCACTAACATTGTTAGATTTTGTTCTGACCCATTCTGCAAGATTGAAAGTGTGACTTTGATGACCATATCACAGTTTCATCTGACCACTAGTAATTGAAAGTTGCCATTGAGTATAAGACTTATCCTGTTTCAAAGTTCTTAAAATTTTGAAAGAAAAAGAACATTTCACAGTTAACTTACAGTGTAAACTTTGGGATTTACAGTGTAAACTGTGCTTATGAGCACTGAACAACAAATGGTTGTATGACTGTTATGTATTTAGCATATTTGTGAATAAATATGAAGCCAGTTTTGAAAACTGGCAGATACCTTTATGATTTTGGAAAGGCAAATAAATTATCAAAGAACCTTGTGTTTGCTAGCCTTTTAGAAAGATCAAATAGCATAGTATTTTCTTAACCTCTGTTGGCTCTAGATGTTGTAGAAGGAAGTTTATGAAAAAGAGTAGAGTTGTGTGAACCTGTCTCTTGTGGAATTGTGGCTATTTCTGCCCATCTTACAGTTCTGTCACATTCAGAGACATTGCAGATGAAAGGGCCCAGCTCCTGAAATCTAGACTGCACCGTTCTTAACCAAGTAAAGCATAGAGTAGCTTTTTACTGCATTTCCAAAGCCTCGACTATATTGAGTACAGACTTTTTATTTTTCTTACTGATTGTTCTCTTTGAATATTGTCCAAATGGTGACTGACATAATTTGCTTGCTCAGAGTGAGCCTGCGATATACTGCAGTAGTGGTGGTAGCGATAGACTGTCCAAGGCAGTGTCAAAACAAAGCTGTTCTAAGAATTCCCTTCATGAAGAACCCTGATGAAGAAATCTGGCAGATTTCTTGCCATATCTTAAGAATGTGGATGGCTACCATGGCCAGAAGAATGCTTTTACTTCTCATAGTTGTGCCTCGGGTTTCATAGGTACAAAAATAGTTCTGATGAATTTCATGGCTGAGAGAGGAATTTTTTGTCTTATTCTTTTGAAATCTGTACTTTACCAAAACTTGTCTTAGAACATTGCCATATCTGCCATATTACTTTGCATTAATGCTCTTCATCTTTTAACCCATTTGCATCAGCATGCAGTACATTAACAGAACAAAATTCTTTTAATCTTCGATCTGCCATGTTTATTCTTTGCAGTGCTAATTCTGATCTTTATCTTCTTACAGGTCATTAAGTCAAGGCAGCACAAACTCAAACATGCTAGATGTTCAGGGAGGTGCTCACAAAAAAAGGGCACGCCGTAGCTCCCTGCTTAATGCCAAGAAACTGTATGAGGATGCCCAAATGGCAAGGAAGGTAAAGCAGTATCTCTCTAGTCTGGATGTAGAGACAGATGAAGAGAAGTTCCAGATGATGTCATTGCATTGGGAACCTGCATATGGTACCTGTGAGTACAGGTTTCACTATGTAATAATGTTAATAGCAACATAGACATTATGCTGAAAAATCAGAAAGTGAACTTGTATTCATAAAAGATTACTCATGGGATCCTCCCTTTTGGCACAATGGTTAAAGCAGGGCACTTGCAAACAAGCTGCAGCCGCTTCAGTGCGAGTTCAATCTCCAGCCCCAGAGGTGACCCACATGGCATGGCAGACTTCTCCTGACTGCCCGTTGTTCCCCTCAGCAGTGTACTTAATCTGCCTGTTCTGCTCCCCACACTCTGTCGCTACTGAATCCTCTCACCACCTTTGCACCTCTGGCCTGCACCCTAGTTCTCTATACATAAATAAATAAAGCTTTAAAAAAAAAAAAGATTACTCATATAGCCTAAACATCATGATAGATATCAAATCCTATCCATTTCTGATGACTGTTACATAAAATACAGAGGAAGAAATAGTTCTTTTTTTAAAGCATTATAAATCTTCATGTGAAAAATGCAATGTTACAGAGGTGCCCTTTTGTTTGAGAATGGCATTGCTAAATGAGTTTTACTAAAATTTTTACCCTTTTTTTTTGTTTCACAGATATCTTTTACCAACTAGAAAACCCAAGAAATATAATTCAGTTCAATTAAAACACTATTATAGGTCTAATAAGACATGTTCTGATATTGTGTATTTATAGAAAATAAGTACATAAGTTTTTATCATTGTTGATTTTTTTTTATTAAGTACAAAGTGCATGTGTCTCTGGATAAGGGATTCATGCGTTAGAAAAACAGAAATCAAAAATGGTAAAAAAAAAAAAAATACTGTAACAACATCAAAAAAGAATGTGGTTTATAGTAGTAGAAAAAGATGTTGACAGAACCCTTCCTGGTAGTGCAGCAGATTAGAGCAAAGCCCTGCAAGCTAGCCGCAGCTACTTGAGTACAAATTTGATCCCTGGCCCCACAGGTGATACACATGGCACAGCAGACCTCTGCTGTCTCACCTGCTGTTCCCCTCAGCAGTATACTTCAAAGATCTGCCTGTTCGGCTACCCACTCTGTCTCTGGTGAATCTTCTCACCACCCCTGCTCCTCTGGATTTATCCCTATTTTGTATGCCTAAAAGAATAAAACCTTTTAAAAAGAAAGCAAAACTATGCCAACAAAGCAGAAAAGAGAAAGTTGAAATATAGCCAAAATTGTTAATATTCAGATAGGCTAATGAATTTTAAAATACAGTGTAATGAGACATTGAATAAGTGTTATAAAAATAGTATCTTGAACACTTCTGCCATAGGGATAGTAATGGAGTGTGATGGAAAAGCTACTGAAGGAAGAAGACAAATTTTATCATTACATTTGAGCAAAGTCTCTGGTTTCACAAGTGTGAAACTTGATCAAGATGTGGAGTATGTCTTATTTCTGTGATCTTTTTTAGTCAAGCTTTTTAAATTAGGAAGGAAAAATCAAATAGTAAAACTAACAGTTACTAAGAGTTTTATTACTCTGCCAGCATTTATACTAAGCATTTGATAGCTGTTGTCATTGACTCTTTACAGCAATTTTTGAGGTGTCCTATATTGGAATTGTATTTTAGTGACATGATGTACCTAAATAGCTCATAGAAAGATGTGTTGAAATATGTATTATGATGAAAAATAAATCACTCTGAAGCTAACATGTTAGAGAGTAGTAGGTATACTGTTTCCTTATCAATACAAGGGATGGTCTATCACCAGGCAAATAACAAATGTTTTTAGGCTTGAAAGGTACCTGTGAAAATTTACCACATGTGGACTATCAGGAATAGTGTCACCCATGTGAAATGATACATCTTGAAATTAAAGACTGAAAATGGGTATTGAATCTTTAAAATTTATTCACATTTCAGAGTTAAGAGCCATATATTTATATATTTAATTTATGGCCTCTGGGTCTGCTTTGATTACCAAATTATATTTTCCCACGGAAGTCAGTTTAGACTTCTTCTATTGCCCTTTTTTTTTTTTTTTTTTTTTTTTTTTTAGCTTTTACTTATTTATGCATACAAGAACTGGGGTACAAGCCAGAGGGGTGGAGGGTGAGAGGAGTCATGAGAGACAGAGTGGAGAACAGAACAGGCAGATTGCTGAAATACACTGCTGAGGGGAGCAGTGGGCAGGTCAGGAGAGGTTGGTCAGCTCCCTGGCCAGTGATCGAACTCATGCCGCAGTGGCTGCAGATAGCTTCATAATGCCACCAGGAGGGTCCCCAGACTTTTATTACCTTGTGCTTATCAAACCCAGTTTATTATTTCTCCTCTTGTCTGATAAAGGTTTACTTATTTTATCTTTTGTTTTTGCTCTCTGCTCTTTTTCTTTCTTCCCTAAATCTAATTTGAGATATTCAAGAGCATGCAAATTTCTCTAATGCTTTGCTTATTTAAGTCTCACAAACACCTACCACTGAGTTCTGTCTCAGTCTCTCTCATATGCACACATGCATACAGAGCTGCATAACTTTCTTTCTGCACAAACCTTGTATCTGTCTGTATCTTTCCTGAAAACACTAAGTGATAATCTTCACTGCTTATTTAATATTGAGTTAAAAAGTGAGAAAATATGTTGGCTTTTCTTAACTAGATTTTGTGAAAACTTAATTCTGTGCATATTCCTTAAACTTTTCCTGAGGATCTGTTTCGTTTCTGTTGCACAGTTGATTTTTAAATGTTGAAGTAATGAATATAACAGGCCCAAACAATAGTTTGTTAACCATTATCAAATATGGCTGTTACTAATAATAAACCACAGCACTCATCTGTGAACTAGTAACTTCTTTCTCTTTAAAATCATCTCTTAATTTGTGTGTGTGTTTGTGCAAAAGCAATTGAATATTATTAAGAGAAAGGAGGAAATGTTTTATATCTCCAACCAAAGGATGACATCTTGAGTTCATTTGGTTGGTGAGCAGTGTGTTTCTCCCGGAGCCGAGTTTTGAGTTTCTGAAATGTTTTCTAATTCTTACTACCCTAAATGTTCTGTTCACTTGTATGATGAAAGCATAGTAGCTAATTGTGGCAGTTGTTTGGAGACAGACTAATCATCCTAATTTCACTTTCATCTTGATGTGTAAAACCAACTACATGATAGAGTACTTTGCTTAGAACCATATTAAAATAACCCTGCATAAGTGACTGAAGAATTAGAAGTATTACCTGCAGCCCACAGATTTACAATTGAGATGGAAAAAGGCACAAAATGGTATAAAAATAAACTATCATGTTATTTAAAAAGAGAGAAAACATATTATCTGCAGTAGGTTCTTTTAATTACAGTATTTTATTGATTTTATAAAATAGCATGGTAGTTTTTTGCTTCTTAAATTAGAGTTCTTGATTTCTAATTCTGACATTCATTTCCAAATATTATGAGTAAAAATTTATAAACCAATCTCGAATATTCCTCTGTATAACTGTGAAGTAATATCACTTATTCATTCAACAAATACTTATTTTCTATCAATTAGTGGACACAAAGAAGAATAATAAGTCACTTAGAGGTTTGTGCAGGCATTTGGAGAAGGAAAGTGGCATGGTTTTCACATTGCTAGTCATTGGAGAGTGACTTGAAAGCATATTAGAATTGATAGAGTAAGGAAGTATTATTATTAAACAGGATTAACTGGAGATTTCAGGGTGATAGTGGACATAACTAAGTAAGTGGATTCAAAAAGAATGTAAGAAGTAAAACTAACTTATTCTATAGAAATTTTACAGGTACCATTTTATAGTAAATGAATGTTTTTAGGATTATTAATCTATTTTCTTGTGTTGAAAATAATGCCATCATTTGTTACTGTCACTGTTAACAACCTTGCCTTCAAAATGCTGGAAACCTATTTCTTGTTTTTTCTATTAGTGACCAAGAATTTAAGTGAGAAGAGATTAGCCAAATCATCAGAAATGTCTCCAGTGCCTTTGAGGTCAGTTGGCCAAACAGCTAAGGCCCACTTACATCAGCCTCACAGAGTGAGCCAGGCACTTCAGGTGCCAGCCGTTAACCTGCACCCCATTAGGAAGAAAGGACAATCAAAGGACCCCATCGCGTTAAGTGAGTATTCACTATTAATACTGCTTTCACTAATACTGCTTTCATTGAACATTCCAGGAGAGTAGAATGAAAAATGATTACAAATGTTAATGGTTTGGAAATCAGCTTCTTGTCGTTGGTATAATACAGTATTGCTCATGAATTAAAAAAAAAAAGTTTTATTTTGTCTGTAGGTATTTCATGACAGCATACACTTTAAACGCTAATTTTGGAATTCCTGTAAACACATCACATCAACAGAATACATACACTTGGATACAAAAGCTTTCTGCATTCAAAGGTGCTTTTAATCAGTTTGCTAAAACAAAGCAACAGTGAAAATGAAGTTGTGTTTTCAAAAAATGACCATATGTTGGTTTTTCATTAATGATCCTTCAGAAAACCAAATTAATAGAATAGTGAGTGTGAAGTATATAAAGTACAGCCATACTTTTCTCCTCCCTTTTGCCATGTAGAGTTTATCCAAAATAATTGTTTTAACAGTGCCACTATTTTACTTTCTGATGGGAAAATAGAGTAGAATATACTTGGTTACTTAGCCTAGACATTATACATAGGGATGTATTAGATAGAACTTTGTGGATTGAATTTTTTTTTTTTTTTGAAATTCAAAATTGAATAAGAAATGCCCCCTCCTCTACCAGATTTTCAGTGGATTGATAAAAGTGTGCAGGTAACTCAAGTATAATATATTTGCCGTTATACCAGACTGATGTACAGAACATCTTTAATTTTAAAAAAATGTGGGGAAAGTTCGCTTTTAGGGCAGGAAGAGGTGAAGTAGAGCTTCAGTGAAAGCTTCTTGGAGATAATACTTAAAAAGAGTCTTAAATGTTGTTCAGGAAGTAGGTAATAAGGCAAAAATTCCAGAGATGTTGATTCAGGCAGATGCTTGGTATCTGCAAGTAGCTTCAGGTAATTTGCTGGTTCTGAGTGTAAAGCTACAACAAGAGTGTTGAGAGACAATGATAATGAAAACTAACTTGAGAACCACTTCCTGTTCTAGGTACGTTACTAACTTCTCATATTCATTTGATCTTCCTAATACCCCAATAAGATCGGTAATGCTATCATTCTGCAGAGGAAGCATAGACAATCTAACTAACTTACATGCTACCTATTAAAGACATTTGAACACGAAAGATCATGGTACAGTTTCTGTTGGAGATGAACTTGTAGTAGGCAGGGCATTGAGGCTAGAGATAGAGCACCAGAATGCAAAGCCAGTCAGACAGTTAAAATAAAAGAAAGTTGCTCAGAGCCTCGTTCAGGTTGTTGTCTGTGGAAATGCAGAGAGCATTGGATGCAAAATTGTTGGAAATTGATAAATTTTCAGGTAGGAGAAAGGTTACAAATTTAGGTCTAATTTCTAACTTAACCTCATCACCTGGCCCTGAGCCATTTCTCTGTAATATGCCTATTATGCATATGATTTTTTTTAAAGATTTATTTATTTATTCATATGGAACTGGGGTACATGCCAGAGATGTGGAGGGTGAGAGGATTCACCAGAGACAGAGTGGGGAGCAGAACAGGCAGATTGACGAAGTACACTGCTGAGGGGAGCAGCGGGCGGGTCAGGAGAGGTCTGTCTCTCCATGTGGATCTCCTCCGGGGCAAGCGGGATTTGAATTCATGTGGTAGTGGCTTTAGCTTCTTAGTGCTGTGGTTTAACCCACTGCGCCACCAAGGAGGGCCTGCATACGATATTTTTAAATGGCACTTTAATGTGGGTATGCTGTGATTAAATTTTGTCAGCGTCAAAGGGCTGCTTGTTATTACACCAAAATGCTATCAAAATTGAGCTTACTTTCAGATTAAGAACAGGATTGAAAATTTTTGGCATTTTTCAGAGATGTATATGAAAATGTCAGTCTGTCAAAACTCTTGTTTAAGCTTAACTAACTACACTAAACAAGTTGGACAAGAATAATGTTAGAACTATGTAGGAATGTTTCCAATGGGCTCCATACTACTTTGACATAAATTCATGATTCTTTCTGTTGTCTACTTCTCTCCTGTAGTGTGAATTTAGTGCTCTTGCAAAGGGCTGAACTGGCAGCCCTGCAGCCTCTTCTGTGTATCCACAGCACAGATGCACCACAGGTAGTGACAGTGCCAACATCTCTACACTGCCCCTGCCTCATGCCATACCCTGGCTTGGAGAGGCCACCTCTAGAGTGGAGGCAAGAGTTTGAATCTATGTCTTCTTGATTAAGACTTTCTACAACTTTGTCAATTGTGGGGGGTGGGTGGGATAGCATACTCAGACTGCTAAATCATTTTCCCTTATGCCACAAAATAAACAAATGAAAAAGAACTCGTGCTCTGGTTCATGCGGACCAGCTGAATTCGAACAACAAACCTAGAGGTGAGAATCTCTGTATACCATTGCCTAGTCATTTAGTCCCCGTTTTCTCATTTACACATTTCAACTAACTACACTGTGCACCATGGCTTTAGTTATGTAGTAAATTAGGCAACTATAGGCATTTTGATTGCAAAGTGATGTTTGCTTACTCGTTGGATTTATATTTAGGTACAAGTTTACCTCAGAAAGTATTAGGAGCAACTGAAGAAATAAGTGGTAAGAAACATACAGAAGATACTATTTCCATGGCATCATCCTTACATTCTAGTCCTCCTGCATCTCCTCAAGGTTCTCCTCGCAAAGGTAAGACAAAGGATGTCAGACTATCTCTTGTTACAACAAACTTTGTCATAAATTTTTATTTTCATGCCATAGTAAATAGAAAATGTGAAGAAAAATTTAACTCTTCATACTTTGGAAGCTTTCATGTTTTGGGTTGAATTATTTAGATACTCTCTCGGTGATGGAGTCCTATATTAAAAGTGTTGGCCCTTCTTTGACAGAAGGCATGTATAGAAAACAAAAGGCAGAAAGAAGAGTTGTGTTATTCTGCTCAGTTTTCTAAAATTTTAAGTTATTTAAAATTTTAAATTATTTAAAAATCTATGGAGTATTTTAATTTCTACAAGACATTGTTTTTAATTAACTACAAGATTTAGGAAAAGAAACATTTAGGAAATAAATTCCTTTTTTTAGTAAGAGTATTATTACCTATTTATTGATCAGGGTTTGACATGACCATGTACCCTTGTGTGTGCTGTGGTATGGTGATGCCAGGCTGAGTTGTTTGAATCTTTACTGGCCCCTACTATATAACTGTTATTACAAGCAACTAATTTTTAAAGTCTGGTATCTTGCCTGTAACATGGAAGAAACCATTTATTTTAGGATACCCATATAAGGATTAAATGAAATTTTCTTAATAAAATTTGATTACATGGCATTTAGTAATTTGGAATATATATCTTTCCTTGCCTCTAAGGCAGCATTGTTCTATTACTCACCTGTTTTATTCTTCCCCTTCATATAGGGAGATTGGCTCAAGTTTTCATTCAGTTCTTACTAAAGAAACTTGCAAAAATCAGAAGCAACAGCTAAACAGTAAATATGATAGGTATAAACCTGAGCTTATAAAACACAGATTTCTAAACATGTTGCAAATAGTTCATACAGGATTGTGTGAGGGGCACAAATCTGTGCCCCTTTTACTGGGGGTCTTATCTATGGTACCCCAGTCAACATGTGAACTGCACTTAAATTCTTACTACTCTTTCTGGAGCACCTTTTTCCCCTTGGAATGCTGCTCAGAGGTCACATTATGGACAGTTTTAATTTAAAACTAGTTAAGTTAAATTTGAACATATCTTCTGAGAAGAAGTACAAGGAGCAGGAAAGTGGCTCTTGTTCCCAACAATTGACTCCCAGCACTGGAATGGAGAAATGTTTTTTTCTGTGTTTCCGATGGTATGGTCAATAGGCGACCATAATGTTATATATTTGTGAGCCTATCATTGTGCTCAGAGTACACAAAAGCCTAAAGAAATTCTTTCCTTTTGAGATATTTCCAATTGTTCTAAAATATGTTCCTTAATAAAAAAAAAAAAAAAAACTGGAATAACTATACAGTTTTATTTCCATAGACAGCCCATGACAATGGTTTGTAATTAAACAAAAATGTCATTAAACTAAGAGTACAGTATTAGAATCTGTCCCTGATTCTTGATAAACTTTGTAATTCCTTGCTTTCTGTTAATTAAGAAAGTCTTGTCTTCATATTTCTTACAAGGAGAATTTAAACAAGAACTATAAAAAGAGTAAAAAGTAAAGAACCCTTGATCTTTGTGTTCCTCGGTGCCTAAGGAAGGCACCCTTTCCACTTGGAGATAAAACAAGATTAGAAATTGTACTTTGTACATGTTTCTGGTATATATATTTATTTATTTATTTGTCCTGTCTTATTGTCATTGAAATAACACTATAACATTCAGTGTTTCAGGTGTGCATTATTGAGAATCAATGTACCTATACATACTATATTAAATGCACCACTGAATATCCAATTCTAATTCTACACTTCTCCATTCCATTATTCCTTTTGTCCCAGTTTACCCAGCCACTTTCCTCTATTACTTATGGTAACCACCAACTGTCCCCTTAGCCCAAAAGTTTATTTTTGTTTTGCGTAGCTCTGTTGTTTCTTCCTCTGCACTGTGTATGAATTAACTCATGCAGTATTTATCATTCTTTGGCTTACTTCACTAAACATAATCTGGTATTTACTACGCTTTTATTAGTAGAAGCTGCCTGAAAATTTTTGATACAAATAACTTTTGAGAAATAATTCTAGTTACCTAATAATCTTGTCTTATTTTACCGGTGACTTTACTGAAACCATTGAATTGGCTAACTTTCAACAGTTTTTGTGGTTTGTAAATTTTCGCTACCAGCCTATTCTGGTCAAGGTAATCTTTCTCCTATATTCTGTCTTGCAATGAATGCTGTGTTTATGTTATATAGTAGACACTCTGTAAATTATAATTTTAGATTTCATTTTCAAGATATTGTGAAATTGTTAGCATTTTTAATAGTGAAATGTTATATAAACCAGGTTAATTGTGATTAATTGGAAAGAATTAATTGACCATGACAGGGTTTTTGCATCTCTCCCTCCAGTTGGCAGTATCCTATCTGATCACAGCATCCTGCTGCGCCTCTCAGGGTCTTCCTCATCCCCTCCCCGTGAGTCCAGCACCAAGATCAGTGGCCAGAGCTGCCCCGGAATAGGTGGGGTTTACTTGCAAAAGAAAATCCTTCAGATTACCAGGAGCACAGCCAAAAGAACAGACAGGACCGAGAAGGCCACTGAGGAGAATAGAGACAGGACAAGTTTTGAGAACACAGCCAGAAAAAGAATGACATCCCCGTTTAGAAGATTTAGGGAAAGAACTCTTTCAAGGGAGAGACTAGCCAACAGCAAAAAAGAGGACGCAGATCACAATCAAGCTACAGAAAGCTGTGAGAAAGTGAAGGATGTTGGAAGCAACATCAAAGATGAGAAAGGGAGTGACATCTTCAATTCAAATAGCCGAAGCAACAATAACACTTTAAACTGCTTCTATACGCGATTCAAGTCTAAAAGGAGAAAGACACTCTGAACGAAGTTCGTTATTTAATTTTAGTGTTGAATTCGCTTTTATTTATTAATGTAAATGTAGCTTTAATGAAGTCATTTGTCAAAACCTAGACAGATGACTTAGTACTCTTTATAAGCTTTTCATAATTAGTGTTACAGGTCCTTTACCAAACGAAGTCTTATTGCTTTAAAGTGCCTTATTTGTACATGTTATTTTACTAATTTTAGTAAAGTTTATACTCTCATTTCTGTAGTTGGCTTTATTTTTCCTATTGGTAGCAGCTGTGTCTGTGAGTAAAGTAAGTAAAGGGTTCTTTAGGGATCAGTATTTACTTCTACATTAAGACCCTCAGTAACAATCTGATCAGAATCTTTCGCTTCTGAGAATTATTTTATTATTAACGGCAGCAACTTAACAAGCTAAAAGAAAAAACGTGCTTGGGAGGCCAGAAATTGCATCTTGGCCCCATACACTTTTTATGTCATCCAGTTTTCACTTATATTTGATTAGAGGAAGGAGGAGATAATCTAAGATATAGCAGGTTTGAAGCTGCTAAGAAACTTGGTAAAATTTCATTGGTAAAAGAATTGCTGTGTCTCACACATACTTTATAAATTTAAGTAGCCAGAAACAGTCCTGAAATGTATTTTTTTAAAGGTTTCCAAGGATTGTTAGAATTGTGTCTGAGAAACACTGCTTCTTAAAGACATAGTGATGAAATTAGTTCAGTAAGACAAATAATTTACCTCTTAGAATAAAAGGAGTGATACTTTTTTTTCTTTTGAGAAAGAATTTTTCTGTTTTATTTTAAAATTTACCACATCAACATTTTTTGATCCTTTTATAAAGTGACCGATCACTTTATGAAGCATACTGAGAAATAACAGTCCCAAGTTCAGAGAACTAGGATCGGAGTTAGGAGTTTGGCTTGTCTATCTTAACTCCATAAGCCAAATACAGTTTTTTGGGTCTTAACTTTTCTCTTTGAAATAGCTAACGATATTTCTTAATAAGGTTGTAAGTTCAGCAGATTTTTATGTATTTAAGGTGTATGTAAATACGAAAGCTATACTTCTTGAGATTTCCAGGGATTGACCCAAAGATTATATAACTGTTGAACCTCATTGTTTCAATGACCAAGAAGATAATTGCTTCTAAGAGACTTAATCTTTATTTGGATTACTAGAGCCATTTCTTTTATTTCTAAACAAAAAGGGTTTTTTGTTTATTTTTCTATAATCAAAACAGGGCATTATATCATTTAACTAGCATGCTGCTGGTTTGGTTTTAGTGTTCTGCCTCACTTCATCTCCATTCATTTTAAAGAATGCAAAATAAAATCTGTCTAGCTATAAATCTGCTGTATCTACTATGCAGTAAGTCGTAAAACAATTTCAAAAGGTAGATACTATTTTTTCAACACATTCTTACAAATTTGTCAGTTCAGCTGTTTGATATTCAGCAAAGTTGGAGAGGAGAGAGGAACCTAGGTCTAAGATGAAATTCAAATCTAAAACAGTTGGAAACTACTGAAACAACTGCTTTCAACTGGGGCTAGACTCTTTAGGTGACATAACTATCTGGGGGTAAGTATATGTAATTTGAAAAGTAAAAATATAATTTCCCTTGAATCCTGACACTTCTCTAACCTCAGGGTGGTGTTTTGGACTCTCAGGTCAGGCTATGAAATATCTGTATTTCTCAAAGGAGGGGACATGGAGTTAAAAAGAAGAAACTCAAGATGTCTTTTTTAGTATTTTGTATATTTTAAATGCCTTCTTGTTTTATTAAATGCTTACGTGAGAGCATGGGGCTAAGTTTGGGCTCGCTTTCTCAGTAATACTGGATTTTGACTGTATATCTTGAGTTGGACTCGTGGGATGTGCATAGGAAGGTGAATGATGTGTAGAAAATTGGCATCATTATATCTACATAGATGGAAACTTAAATTACTACTTAGTCTTTTGGTCTTTTTGTTTTTGTGTCCTCTCTTTTACCACATTCTCCTACCTGTTGCCTTGTTTGTAGTTTGATCAGTTGTCTTCTCTCATTCAGGTTATACACTTACACCATCAGCTAAATCTGACAACTTATCTGACTCCAGCCATAGTGAGATTTCTTCACGTTCCAGCATTGTGAGCAATTGTTCTGTTGACTCCATGTCTGCAGCTCTACAGGATGACCGGTGTTCCTCCCAGCCTGTGGCAGTCCCTGAACCCACTGGGACCTTGGAAAAGACAGAGCACTCCTCAGGGATAGGAGACCATAGTCAGCTGGGTCCTGGGTAAACATCCTTGCCTATGTTCATATCACAAAACCCAAAACAAATGACCGTACAAACATTGCTCCCAACTTGATGTTAGATGCCTCACCCCACCCTCTGTTATCCCCAACCCTCCCACTGGGATAGTTTCAAGGGGATCCATACAAGAATATGAGGGCCACATATGTCTTCTCTAAATCTACATATAAATTTTCTTTTGAAAGTTGTTTGTGTGCTCATGTTTAAAGCATTACTGAATTCAAGCACTTTCTATCAGTAATAACTCAAAGCTGCTGTTGATAGGAGGGACGTAATTCTTGAAGTCTGGCTTTTGGTTAGCAGTTGCTTAAAATAACTGTACAATGAAGATGCCCTCTGTGTTGCAAACATTGTAAAACAGACACATTGGGAGAGGAGGACCAGTCCTTCATCCTTATTCTTTGAATATGTGATTTGGGGAGTAAGAATTAGTAGCTAGTAAAAGTAAGAATATTTTTTAAAAGCTTCTAAATTTCTATTTTACAATCAAGCAAAATGGCAATCTAATCTGAGAAAAAAGAAATTCTGATAAATGCTGTTAAATCTGGTATACTTTGTTAAATGTGATATACTTTAATGTGAAAATTTTAAGGGATAGTAAAATGTTACCATATTTATAAAAGTTTCTAAATTGTGATTCTGTAAACCAGGATTAGCAAGTTGTTTTTTTTTTTTTAATAAAAGGTAGTAGATACTTTAGATTTTACAAGCCATAAATTCTCTGCCACAATCACTCAGCCTACTGTTGTACCAAAAACATATATTTTTTTAATATTTAAAGAACAGGTTTATTAGGGAAGAGGACAGAGGGGTAAAAGACACTTGTATAAACACAAGTGGGCAGGAAGAGCTGCCCAAAACGTCTTTAGACAATTTTAGAAGTTATGTTGGACCCCATTAAAAATTATTTACAAAATACAGTAGAGGGACTGATTGAGCCTTACTGTAGTTTGCTGGCCCCTGCTATATATGTTCCTGGGGGGTTGTTTGGTTGGCTTTGGTGAAAGAATAATAATATTTTAGGTTTTGCTTTCTCAAATTCCTTCATTTGTTTTCTTTAAACCTTTGAAAACAGAAGCCAGGTTTACTAGTTTCAGACGGTACAAAGCACACTGCTCCCTAGGTTTGACACAAGAGCCGTATTTTGGAGACCTTTGCTATAAATGACAGAATTCGTTTAAAGTATTAGTTGAAGAGAATGCTGTTTACTTAGCTCTGTAGTAGGCTAAGATCAAAGGTAATTAAAAAATGAAGCACAGGGTCCTCCATAGTGGTGCGACGGGTTAAAGCACAGCATTATGAAGCTAGCCACAGCCGTTTTAACATGATTTCAATCCCCAGCCAGGAAGGTGACCCACATGGTGTGGTAGCCCTCTCCTGACCCACCCGCTGCTCCCCTCAGCAGTGTATTTCCGTTGATCTGCCTGTTGTGCTCCCCATTGTATCTGGTTAATCTTCTCATTTCCACCCCCACACCTCTGGCCTATATGCATAAATAAATAGGGAGATTCTTAATTATTTATCTATGGAGAGAATCAGGTATTGTTAGCCAAGAGTGAAAATGTTTAGTTAGTAATTTTAGTCATTTCAAGCTCAGTCTTCCATTTTCATTTAAAATTAAGAAAAATTCTGAGAAAACCCTTGCTCACTATTGAGTTTCCTCACTGTATGTTTTTTCTAGCTATTAACATTAATGCCAGTAGACATTGAGTAATGATTGATTATAACATTTTTGTCACATGGTTATTTTGTGGAGAACACTTGCATGCATTGTACTTCCTTGTAGGCAATAACACTTGCATGCATTGTACTTCCTTGTAGGCAGTAACACTTGCAATGGACAGAAGACAGTTTTTCCCATAAGCCAATACATGACTGTTAATTGTGTATTTCCAATTTTAGGTGGACACACTCAAAGCCACCTCTAATCAAGAGTTTAGCTGTCTCATCCTCTGTGAGCACTGAAGAGATTTCTCATGAGCATGTCATCATAGAAGCAGCTGATAGTGGGCGTGGCAGTTGGACTTCCTGTTCAAGCAGTTCCCATGACAACTTCCAAAGCCTTCCAAACCCAAAAGGCTGGGATTTCTTGAACTCTTACCGACATACACATTTGGATGGTCCCATTGCAGAAGTCGAACCCACCGATTGTGAGCCATATTCCTGTCCTAAAGACTGTTCTAGAACTTGTCAGTGTAAAGGAAACCTAGAGACTCATCAGACGAGACAGAGTTGGGCCTCCTCCAGTTCTCTCTCTGATGCTTATGAACCAAACTATGGGACAGTTAAACGAAGAGTGCTGGAAAACACTGCAGTGGGGTCTTCTGAAGGTTTGGACCCCAAGGATGGCACTGACCCAGTATATAAAACTGTTACATCAAGTACAGAAAAGGGCTTGATTGGTAAGTTGTGTGTTCATTGTCATATCTGACATTTAGAGATAAAGACATAAAAAAAGGGCATTGAGATAATCTTGGTCCAAAATTTTATTCTTACAAAACCCCTTATCTCCAACAGATCTTTTCCTTATTTTCAAAAGCCATGAATTTATTTCTAAAAAGTTTATAGGATAGTTTTAGACCAGTTTTTCAAGCCTATTAAAATGAAAAGGCTGGTATATAGGTGTTGAGTGAATAAGTTTGTCTGCCCTGTTTTGTTCTTGAGATGTTTTCCTTGAGGAAATAACTATATTACTATGCATTTGGTAATAAAAGGATTTTTCTCTTTTTTTTTTTTAATTTTTTTTTTTTTATTATGCATAGAAGAACTGGGGTATAGGCCAGAGGTGCAGGGGTGAGAGGATTCACCAGAGACCCTGGGATGCAGAGCAGGCAGTCTATTGGTGGGAGCAGCCGGGAAGATAGGAGAGGTCTGCTGTGCCAGGTGGATCAGGTCCCTGGCTGGGGATCAAGCCCAGGCCATAGTGATTGGTGGTAGATTCATAGCGCTGAGACTTTAGTGCCTGCACTAGCAGGGAGGCCCCAGATTTTTCTTTGTAACCTTATAAAATGGACCATAGTTGCTATAGTCCATGGCAGAAACTGTGAACCCCGATAATGCTTTAAAAAGTTAGCAAAAATTAGTGGGGAAAAAAACTTTAAACAGTTTTCATTTATACCCTTCTAAGGCACGTCATGGGTGTATCACTTCCAATTTGTGGATTTCATTCTAACCATGCACTAAAATTCTTCTAGTATTTAGCCACCAACTACATTTTTTTATCTCTTCAATTATATAAATATTTGACTATTATGGCCCCTGCGTTTCAATGAATGTGAAAAAACTATACTTTGAATCAATAGTATCATAATTTAATTCTAAAAAGTATTCATGTTACCAAGTTAAATTACTAAATTTATAGTTACTTGATGAACTGAATTATAGGTTGGGTTTTGGCTCATTTTTTTCTAAGGATTTTTCTATTTTTATTAAATATGTAAATAGCCATTATATGGAGATGTATACATGTATATAATGTGTGTATACATGTATATAATGTGTGTATAGGGATATGAAGTCTTTGTCCTATATTTGGAAAAACATTTAAGTCTGATTTATTTCCATATCCAGATGATACTTGGTAAATCTCTTAAATGTTTTTTATTCTTATCTGCTCTGCCCTTCTCAGATAGGAACAGACATGCTTTCTAGCCTTGATGCTGTGTGAAAGTTTTACTAGTCTAGTGGTAGAAATTTCATTATGAACAAATTTGATTCTCTGAAGGGAAAAGTAATATAAAAATTACTTAATGGTCCTTTTCAATCCTGCTTGTATAAGGTAGTATTTTTTTTTTCAGAAGACACTTCGATGATAAGGATTTTCACAGCCATTGATTCTATAGGTCCTGTGGACTGATGTTTATTCCATGGAACTTCCTCTATAACCTTTTTTTTTTTTTTTAAAGATCTATTTTTGCATGCAGAACTGGGTTACAGGCCAGAGGTGCAGGGACCATGAGAGGATTCACTAGAGACAGAGTGGAGAGTAGAACAGGCCGATTGAGAAAGTACACTGCTGGAGGAGCAGTGGGCGGGTCTGGGGAGGTCTGCCTCACCATGTGAATCATCTCTTGGGTGGGGATCGAATTCATACTGAAGTGGCTTTAGCTTCTTAATGCTGTGCTTTAAACCTGCTGCGCCACCAGGGAGGGCCTCTTTAGCCTATTTTTTATGATTTTTGAACCTTTGCCTCAGTCACAGGGCTACTTAATTTAAGATGGACTTCTTAAAATTATGGGGTTTTATTGCTTTACTTTTTTTAACTTAATCACAGTAGATATCAAAAGGTTCTTGAAAGAGTTTCTCTATATCAGGAAACTTTTGTTTATGTGCTAGGATTGATAAATTAATCTACACACAAGTCTCACAAAGCTGTAGTTCATGTTGTGTAGAGATTAAGCAGAGGATTTTAAGCATTATTTCTGTGAAAATCTCTCCAGTCAACAAAGAATAGATATTTAAAGTGAACTCTCAAATGTTTCTGACTCCAACATCTTCAGGATCTGAATGTCCTGAGTTGTTTATCATACTCTTCTGTATATGTGGATTGACTTGCAGAACGAATCTAAGTGTCAGTGTAATCTCTTTCAGCTCTCATTCTCGATAATGTTTATACAAAATGTAATTTGAGTCTTTTCAGAACAGGTTTAAATATTAAGTTTATTGAACTGTTTAAAAACGTATTTATAATCTGTCATTATATTCAAAAATATTCATTTTTTTTCTGTTTAAGTTCCATTTTGTCATTGTAATAAGTGTCTTATGGCTTTTTTATTTTCATTTCTTGTATTTTTCATTAACATTTTCATTGCTTATTTTTCATACCAGTGTACTGTGTCACCTCACCCAAGAAGGAGGATAGGTATAGGGAGCCACCTCCCACTCCTCCAGGATACATGGGGATTTCTTTAGCAGACCTAAAGGAAGGACCCCACCTCCACCTAAAACCTCCAGATTATAGTGTGGCAGTGCAGAGGTCAAAGATGATGCATAACAGCCTTTCTAGATTGCCATCAGCTCCTCTCGGTAGCAGCCCCGTGGCCTGTTTTCCATCGAAGATTGTAACTCAGCCTCAGAGGCCTAATTTGCAGCCATCCCATCCTAAACTTGCAGATGTGACTGACGCAGATAGTGAAGCAGATGGTACGTTGACAGACTACCTTAATGCCTCTTAAATGAAATATTGAATGCATAAAATGGTTTCACCCTGGCATCTTATGTAATCGATAGTGTTTTCTTCAAACACCTTAGAAATCTGTTTAAAAAACAAAATTCTTAAATATGATAGTGAGTTTTTATTAATGGGGAGGGTGTGTGGCTTGTTTGTGTGCCCAATATTCTCCTTCTAGCATAAATATGGGATATTAATATATTTGATAGTCACTCATTCTATTAGGATAATTGTGAGAGAAAGCACTTGATGTTAGTAGAGTTGTGTTTTACATTTTGCATGGAAAATTGAAAGCATAAGTATCAAAATGCCAAATTAGTTTTAATCATGCTATCAATATAGTTATTATTAGGAGAACTTTGGACTGATTTTACAGCTGTGACAATGGTTTGAAATATTGTTTGCTTTATAAAAAAAAATAACTGATGTTTTGTTCTTTTAAGGACTGTGTAAATAAAGTGATTAAAAATTAAGTGGGAGATTTCAGTTTGTCAGCCATCAGTATAATCCATAAATGTCAATATAATGAAATCTGGACCCAGATAGGATTTCTTTGTTGTTTGAGTTTCTTTGTTGAAATGGACTGATTTTCTAAACAGAATCTAGATTTTTTAGTTGTTGTTTATTAGTATGCTTATCAACCATTTAATCATGTTTTCATTATTTTCAGAAAATGAACAGGTTTCAGCAGTCTAGCCTCTGGATGACCACTTGAAGACTACTGATGGTCATGGAAGGAGTGGACAGAACCTCATGTGATTCTGCAGGACGTTGCCAACAGCTTGCTGCTGCTACTCATTCAGAGGTTTCACTCCCTGTCCTCTGAGCAATGAGATAGCCTGAATCATGCTTCCTTTCAGTTAATCCTTGCAGATGCATAGCTTCTCAGCTATGTGTGTTGTGCCTGGATGCCAGTTTTCAGTTTGTACACCAGACCTGCCTTGGGACCACAGCTGCTAGTACAGATTCAAACTGAGTCCTCCCCTATGTATCTCAACTACAGAGTTTTTAACAAGTTTTCAGATGTACTGTCATTATTTCCAGCCTTTGCTGGGATCAACAGATGAATTCCAAATGCCTGCCTTTATCAAGAATATTCTTGTGTATTTGAAAAGTAACTTATTTTAACTTTGGTGTTTTCTTTATGTTCAGGAGCTCTCATTAGCTGATGTTTTTGTTTGAGGCCATAAAACAGAAGTCATCTTTACAGGATAAACTGCTTGATCTGTACAAAGATATAACTAGATCTTTAGCTTCAGTGTAATGCAGGGTCTCAGTTTGAGTGGTAGAGGTGTTATGATGGTCGGTACTGGCATCTGCAGGGATTCAAAAGGCCAAGTGAAGCTGCCACAGAGTTTTATCAGTTCTTTGTGAAAGGGGCGGGAGGGAGAATATAAAGGGTGAAGAGCAACCCTAAATTCCAAAGAATGAAATTTTTATGCTAAATAACATGTATGACCAACTATGAAGTAGAAATCGAGTTGCATCTAACTATAATTAAAAGTATAAATCCATTAAATAGATAATGGGTTCTAGAGAATTCTATCCTATGAATTCCAAATAGAAAGTTTTTTCAAAAGGAAATATAATCATTGGTGGTGTAATCATGAAGATGAATTGAGCTTTCCCATGTAGTGTTTTCAAACATCCCACCCCCAGTTTTCCAGCTTGCCTGTATGAACCTCATTATCCCAATGAAATATAATTGATTAAGTTTTGTGGGAAAGGAGATGGAATTATAGAAGTGATTATCTCCTGGATCTCAGTTTAGCCCTTGAGAAAATGAGATACATATTTTAACAGCATTCTTAAGTATTTAATTAAAATTTCAGTGACTGTTTATTGAATGACCTAAGCTTTTTAACATTTTTTTAAAAGTATAATTTTTTATAGCTTAAGTTTAAATTTTTCCTTTGTTTTTTAGCATCAAGTTTTTAGTGTTTTAAATGAACTCCTGTTGATTACCAAAAAAAAAAAATTAAAAAAAAAAAAGCCAAAGCCATTAATGTGCACTACCCAGATCAACTTATAGCCAAAATGGGTTTACTTCTGAATGACTGGTTTTTCTCTGTGCAAACATATAGGATTCATTGGTTCATGACCTTTTTTCAAGACTTTGGACTTCCTCTTTCCTACTGTCTTTCCTCTCTTTTTTCCCTGTTTACCACCTTCATTTATGTATCACTAGTCAGTTCCAACTGACAAATACTAATAGCTCATCAAATGTATTATCTCTTCATTTTAGGACAGAAAACTAAAGATCTTTTCCTAAGCAGAAGTGTTAATCTAAAATTTAAGCCTTAGACTGTAACTCCAGGTTAAAGTGAGGTTTGTTAGCTCAGAGCTTTCTGGTCCACTGAAATGGAAAATAACCTGAAACAAAAATACTGGTTTGAGAAGTAACTGCTGTGATATGACCTATAAATAGTGGCCGTCTTATCACAGATTTATCCTTCACTGATTTACACACTATTTTATGTCCAAAGCAAAACAAGAAAGTGAAAGATATTTTTACAGTAACCATCTTTTTACCAAGTTTGAGTATTTGTCCTTGCATTTTTATATCTATTACCCAGATAAATGTGCTTTTTCTCATTATCTGTTTAGTAGGTCATTAAAAGCAAATGGAAGCCTACCTGTCTTTGAACTTAATGCTGTGGGTAATATCTTGCACCGAGACTGAAAAGCTTGCAGTTTTGGACTTATACCTTGTTAGCTGCCTTTCCTTTATCTACCTTGAACTGTGAGTGCTTGGATCAGCTGATCACATTGATCAATAACTAAAGCCACATGCTTTGTTGTTTGATGTGTATGTATCCATTTTTTAAAATCATGGAATTTTGAATTTTCTATTTCAATTTAGGTTACACTCCTGGCTTCTCTTAGTTTGTCATATGGCTAGAACAAGTGACGCCATAACCCGTATTTGCTCTTATTCTGAATCCCCGTTTTGTTTTTATTTTACAAGTTTATAACTTTAATGAAGAGATTAGTGCCCTCACCCTACCACAACACAATCTGTCAGGACTATTGAAGTAGGAAATCCTCACTGCAAAGTTTTGCCAAGTGATACAACAAAATAGTCTCTACAAAATGAGAGATTTGGAGAATTAAGAAATCTAATATGTACTATCATAAAAATGTATAATAACTAATAGATAATTCCTCCAGATGATTACTTTCAGTATGAATCTCTGGGGAGAAGTCATCTTAGGTGGTTTCTCATGATGGTGGTAAGTCATGTTGTCATCTGTATCACTTCTTGAGATTCTCTCCCAGACTAGGAACTCTGGCTATGATGATGGGGATTTCCAAGAACTTAATTTTACTGTGTTCTTCTCTCCCCTGTGAAGAGGAGAGAACATGTTTCCTTGTATATTTAAAATGATTATAGTTCTGATCTTTTTAAAGTTTTTTTTAAAAATGTAATTTTGAAGTGGATGTGTCCCATTAGCACTATCTTAAATGCTAAGGGGTAAATCTTCAGAGACAAGTCATAATACATTTTCAGATTTAAACTTGAACCCAGTTCGCTTTTAGCTTTTATTGTGCTGTTACAAGTCGCCTTTATTTTTGAGGTTATCTGCAAAAGACAAAAACAAGCCTTCAGTTGTAATAAGATAGCAATTCTACTGCACAATTCAGTGATTGTAAAGTATCCTGTAACAAGCAATGTTTGTCTCCTATTTTTTTGATACCTCTTAAACTTATGTCTTTTAGAAAGACAGTGCCTCTGTATGCTTTTTGTATTTTTACTGAGTGTAAATAGTTGTTATATTTTTGGTTAAGAGAATGTAAAAGTACCATCTATTAATATTATATCTACTAATACATTGGTGGAATCAATAAAGAATCTACATTAACCTACTCTGCACTTTATTGCCTTCATATGGAATCAGATGAAATAATTCTATCCAGTCATTCAGAAAGGTCAGTAGGGGAACTTTGTTGGTGTAAAGACATTATTTTTTTAATGTCTTGAGAAATATGGCGTGTGTGATTGTTGGCTTTATAGTATTTGTGAAATGTCTAGATATTGTTTAGATTTTTTTAATTTGGAAAAAAAAAAAAAAGAAACAACTGTGACTTAAACCTGGCTGGGGCTTGTTTTTCTTTTATAACCGGAATGTCTTAGGGAGATTGCTGATCTAGTGAGTCTGCAATGCTCTCAGGGACTCATGGCTGTGGTAATTGTGCGCTGGGACTTCCCCTCGTGCTTCATGAAGGACGGAATTAGGAGGAAAGGTCTAAATGTGTGTTTCTTTCTGTAGCAAAATAACTCTTCCAGAAGCTTCACTTGCCTATCTTTCCTTATGTCCCACTAGTCAAAATGGTGTCACATCAGCAGTAGCTGCAAGGGAACCTGGGAGATAGTTTTTTTAACTGAGAATTGATGGCCTTAAATAAACTTAGAATTCTTTCTAGTGAAGAAAGAAAGAATGGATACTGAATGGCCCTACTACAGCATCCTTTTGGACTACTTCTTTAGGGAGTATTTGTAAATACAACAATTTGTTTTTACAGGATCAGCTCCCGGGACTCTGGCAAAGAAGAAGGAAAATTCTGATTTAGCACTCCTTTCTAAAAGTCCTCCCATTCTCCCTTCTGCACCCAGAGAATGTTACTCCCATGGTAGGTAAGAATTCTGCCTCCCAATACATCCCCGTCCAACAACCACACTGATTTCCCAAACATTCCTACCACTGACCACTCCTCCACAGTGTCACAGTCCATTCCTTTGTTTTGTAATATTAATAGTGGGTTGAATAATTGCTACCGAAAAGTAAGAAGTCCTAATCCATGGAATTTGTCTATTTGTATTTGAGAATAGGCTGTTTACAGATGTAATTATAAGTCAAATTTCTGATATGATGAAATTACTTTGAATTATCTGGCTGGTCTGTAAAATGTCATTGCATGTTACTTTGGTGGGAGGGGGGAGGTAAGGAGGGAGCAGACAAAGGAAGGTAGTACAAAGAAGAGAAGGCAACGTGAAGATAGGAGAGAGTGTAACTAGAAGTCACAACCAACAGCCACCAGGAAGTAGAAGAAACAAGAGTTGCTCCTGGGTACCTCCAGAGGTAGTGCCAACCTCCCAGGACTTTATTTTGTATTTCCAGCTTGTTCTATGCCAACAATTTTTGGTAATTTCTGGTGGCAGCTTTAGGAAATTAATCTAAATTTTAGATATCCACAATTTGACTTAAGTTACAGAATGTAGTGATCCATAGACATACCTCAGGAACTCCACTCAATTCCTTAACCACCAAGAAACATCTAATAAGGGGAATTACCCACATCATGGCAGAACAAGGAGGTTGGGAATTGACTTGTCCCCTAATAACAACTGTTAAAAAGATGTGTTTCCCCAAATAGCCAGAAAGAAAAAAATACTGGATGGTTTCACTCATAGCAGGAAGATAAAAGACCGGGGTGGGGGGGGGCATATAATAATGAACAACTATATACCAGAGACATTTCAGGGGAGTAGAGTGGGGAATGGGATCAAAAATGGAGTGCGTGGGACTATGGTGATGGCACATGGGTGATTTGGTGATGGGAAGCCCACGGGGATGACAGCTGAGATGGAAAAAGGTGAAAAAATGATGTAAAAATAAACTATTATTAAAAATAAATAAATAAAGATGTACTTCCTCGAAGATTCAGAAGTTTCCCGACAGAGTACCAGGACTTTCCCATGGAGGATTCAAATTAAGGTTGACTGGCTTGTTAACCGGGAAAGACTGAGAAGAGGTAAGGTGAAGAGGAACATGCCCAAGAAAGTAGTTAACTAACTGGCAGAAGGAGGGTCAGTGATCCACGGCATGAAGACAGGGCACTCTGGACTTCTCTCAACAGAAAGGGAGTACAGTTGTGCACAGCATGGGTCCAGCCTGGAATATTGGTAACAGCACCTCAGGCAAGGAAAGCTCTTCCTTTTGCCCTCCTCCCAGAAGTAAGATCTCAAAGAGTTGCCAGGCAGATCCACACCCACTGTACTGAATTGGGGGTCTACTTGTTAACAAAGAAGACTGGTGGGAGTACACCAATACCTTGGAAGTAGCAGGGTAGCTATGCAGCATTTACAAGTGAATCTTGGAGAAAGGTCAGCAGTGGTAGAGGTTGGTTTGGAGGCTGATGCCTACAGTCAGAAACATACCCACTAAAATGTTTCCTGCCTGCTAGACCCACCTGACCTAGAGAGAGACTTGTGGATCAGAGCTAGCCTCCTCACCAGAAGACTCAGTGCTTCACAGATCATGATCTGCTGCAGAGAGGCAGGTGGGAAGTTATGACAACTGAAGCACTAAATATTGCTGTGGAAAAGAAGAGGCTGAGGTGACCGATTTTACTCCTCAACTAAACTTGAGAAGTAAGTATGTAAGACTCAGATTCCCTTTCCACATCCACCTCACACCACGGTAAGCTAAGAAATAACTGTACCCACAGTGTCCCCAACCATGAAATAAGGCAACAGGCATAACTAGAAAGCAAGGAACATCTGAATATTAGAAAAAATGAGTGTGATATAAAGAATGCAGAAAGAGAGCTTATTAAAGACTAAAACAATATTCAGAATGCTAATTAACTGGAAGGTGAGTCAAGGTCAGGTAAGGTAGCACAAAATCCTTTGAGACCCAGGAACAAGATTTCTTTACCAAAATAATTGAAAATATTAAAACCAATAACACAAACACGAGACCCTAAATGCAATGAAAATACAGGAAATACTTTAAACTGGCAAAAGAAAGAATTTCAGAAATGGAAGAAAAATGTGTAAATAAACTGAAGAGAAACAATACATAGGAAGAATTTTTTTTTTTTTTTTTAATGAATATAACTAGAGGAGAAAATGGGCCTCCATGGTGGCACAGCGGGATTAAGTCACAGCACTATGAAGCTATCTGCAGCTGCTT